TTCTTGCTAATGTATGAACAGCAGTGTGTGCTAATGCCATGCACAATAGGTGGTGTAAATGGAAGATAATGAAATATTCTTAGGAAGTTCAACCAAGATAGTAAAGGTGTGAAGTGGGCTGGAAAAGCTGATGGATGAGATCAGCTTTGGAATGGAGGTAGAGTTAAAGGAAGTGCTTTGCTTCAACTGGCCACTTATTTCCACTTATAAATGAAAGTTTAATTCCTATTTTCTCTTTGACATGGGAGGCCAAATATGATAGTGATGTAGAACTGCCCTAAATTTGGTTGTTCAGAAAATTACGGTTTTTAAGATTCTCCATCTCTACAGTCTTCTAGTTGATTCTCAGTTGAACACCTCATATTTAAAAAGCTCCAAAAAAGCTGTTAATTTATACCCCCTACCCTAACTCCTCAGGACGCTGAGATCTGAAGGACTGCAGTTCAAAGCCAGGCCAGGGAAGACCATGAGACTTTGGCCTTGAGCAAAGGAACTGAGGGATAGCACCCAGGCCATGACTTCAAGCCCCATGACGAGACGCGCACACACACACACACACACACACACACACCCCTAAAAACAACAAGAATAATTTTTCTACTTCACACACACACACACACACACACACACACACACCCCTAAAAACAACAAACAAGAATAATTTTTCTACTTAAAACTTCCTAGCTTTGTCATGGGAGGAGGAAGGGATAATGGGTGGGGATGTTATTATCAAAAGTATTATTATATACACATGAAATAGAACAATGAAGCCCATTAAAAATCCTAAAAAGAAAATACAGCAGAGGGGTTGAGTATGTTCAAAGCACATATGCATATATGAGAATACCACAATGAAATTTTTTTTACCAATATATGCCAATAAGAAACTTTCTAGCTGGGAACCAGTGGCTCACACCTATAATCCTAGCTACTCAGGAGGCTGAGATCTGAAGATTCTGGTTCGAAGTCAGCCAGACAGGAAAGTTCATGAGACACTTATCTCCAATTAACCACCAGAAAACTGGAAGTGCTATGGCTCAAGTGGTAGAGTGCTGACCTTGAGCTGAAGAGCTCAGGGACAGTGCCCAGGCCGAGTTCAAGCTCCATGCCCAACCAAAAAAAACCCTAAAAACTTTCTACTTTGATGTTTTGAAAAAGACAAAATAATCTCTTAGCCAGGTGCTGGTGGCTCATGCCATAGTCCTAGCTACTTAGGAGGCTGAGTTCTGAGGATCACAATTCAAAGCCATCATGGGCAGGAAAGTAAGACTCATCTCCAATTAACCATTAGAAAATTTGAAGTGGTCCTGTGGCTCAAGTGGTAGAGTTGTAGCCTTGAGCTGAAGAGCTAGCTCAGTGACAGCACTGAGGCCAGTTCAAGTCCTACAACCAACAAAAAAAACCCCAACAAAACTCAATTCTGGTAAATATAAAGCTTTGTGGAGAAATAAGAACATAATGGAATTTTAATTCTCATGTAATAATGAGTTTTTTATATATATTTATTCTAATAGTGCGTTTTGGCTGACTAGCCATAATATACTACAAGCACCTCCTTATTAAAAGAGGTTTAATAAAAATATTCACAAGTGGGAGGTATGGCCTAAATGGTGAAGACCCTACCTAGCAAGTACAAGGCCGAGTTCAGTCTACAGTACCACCAAAAAAGCCAATTAAAAAACCTTTTCAGGAAAAAATAAGGGAACATGTTAACCATGCCTACAACTGGAAAGATGTAGTTGTCTAAAAACATAAACTGAAAATGGGATGGAAAATTAGGTGACTATCCAGCAAGGTGAGAAATAAATGATTGTTGTGTAAGTCAGCTAGTCTACAGTACTGTTACAGCATCCTAAACAGATTTAGAATGTGTCAGCTATCTGAGGTAATAGGTACTCTGTTGGAAAGGAAGGAAGAATAAAAAATACTGAGTACTTTTTGTTTCTGAATATTTTTTGTAAGCCTCTCTTAGAGCACTTATTTGAGGCTAAACAATCTAAGGCCAGCCAGCTAAAACGTGTTTATATATATATTATAAAATATATATATTATATATATATATATAAACTATTGTATTAATTTGCTTTCCTCATTTCACCAATTGGATACTTTGAGGGTGGATGCCGAAAGGAGAGCAAAAATGCCTGGGAGAAACACCTAGGCAGATGTGATGGAGGGCAGCCTGAGTAACAAAGTGAGTCTGTCTCATTAAACAAACAAAAAAATCCAACCAGGCCTGGTAGCTCAAGCCCACAATCCTAACTTGGAAGGCAGAAATCAGGAGCACCATAGTTTAAGGCCAGGATGGGCAAAAACAAGACTTCTACCTCCTTGAATAAGCCAGTCAGTGATATGTGTTTGTCACCCCAGCTAATCTGGAGGATTGTGGCTCACATCTGTAATCCTAGCAACTCAGGAGGCTGAGATCTGAGCACTGTCATTTGAAGCCAGCTCCAGCAAGAAAGGGCCATGAGACTCTTATCCAACTAACCACCATTAAAACTGGAAGTGGGGCTATTGCTCAAGTGGTAGAGCACTATCTTTGAGCAACAAATCTCAGGAACAGTCAGTGCCTAAGCCCTGAGTTCAAGCTCCACAACGCCCAATAAATAAATAAATAAACAATAGAATAAAAATTTTAAAAAGGAGCATTGTGATTTAGGTTAGCCTGGGGAAAAACTTGAGCCTATATCCCCAAAATGAAAGCAGTAAGGACTGGGGTATGGCTGGCAGAGAACCTGTCTAGCAAGCACAAACCCAATGTTATACCCTAGTAAGTTTTCAGTACACTGGCAGAAAAGAGTACAGATGGTTATACAACCCACTTGATTTTTTTTACCCACTTGATTTTTTTTCTTTTTGCTCTGCCTAGTGTTGGCTGTTTTCTCCTCCTCTGGAATTAGATTCAAATTGCTGACTTACAAGACTGGGTGGGTAGGTGAAGATTGTGCTTCATCATCTCACTAAGAAAAACAGGTGGAGGTGGGAGACTAGTCTCCTAGACACAAAGGATTCTTACTCTCTGGAATGCTATGTCCACTCTGCTGAATTCTGAATTTTTTTTTTCAAATGTGCAATTTCTTTTACAGTTAGTCACTTACCTTAAATCCTGTGCAATCTGTTTTATCTTCAATTTTACTTAAATTGTTAATTTTACTTAAATTGTTGTCTTGAATATATCAATGACTCTTTGCTACACCAGTTGTATTTTTCTCAGCCATTTAATTTGTCCTGGTTCATTACTCTTCAAAACTGTCTTCTTATGCTTTATATGATAGTACAAAAAGATGTTCTAAGATTGAATTTTTTTTCAAAATATAAAAAATATAAGGACAAAAGGTCAAGCCTGCTTTTCATACTTTCTTGCACTATAACCACTGAGTAGTATGAATGATATAGATCGTTATCAAACTTAAAATTCTTTTACGATATTTACAAATTAAATAAGATTATATATTTTGTACCTGTTATTTTCCAGTATTATGCATTGGTATTGTTGTGAAATATTTTGTATATAAAGATATTTTTGTTAGATATTATTTTGCTGATGAATAATTCATGTTTGTCTAATTACAACTGCTGAAGCAACTACATATAGTACAAATCTGATCACACTATGTGAGGACTTACATACTCACACAGTTGCTGCTACATACATATTTTAAGAGTTGTGACCATTATGCTAGCTTCATAGTTTGGAAACATTCCACCCTCCTTTCTGTGTTTTTCCTGGTGATTTTTTTCATGGATAAGACTACTTTTTTAATAAGGTTATCTAACTTAAGCCAGGTTTAAAAAACATTGTATTCTCCTAGAAAATTGTCCAAGTCTTATTTTCAGAGAAGGCTACACAAAATAATTCACATGGGATTTTCAAAGACTCTCCTATATATATCCCCTTGCTTTCCAATATTGTCTTCTCCTTTTCTTTCTCAGGCTCAAGAGTACCCAAATACTACATATTACCAACTTTATTGACTATTTGAAAATTTTTTTCTTCTTAGTTTTTAAGTTTTATTTTTAAGGATTCTTGCTATTTTCTTCCTTTTTCTATCCTTTCTGCCTGTGTGTATCCTTTAAGGATTTGGCTTATTTAATCAGCGTTTATTTATTGTATAGCATTAAAAAAAATCCTTTGTCATATAAGTGGCTATAAGAACTGTACTAATTTGGAGTCAATCAATGTAGGTTCCAATTTCTCAACTCTTACTTATGTCATCCTGGTTAAATGTGAACTGTTTCTTCATCTGTAAAAATAAAAGTGATACAAATTAAATTTGAAAATATTCGCAAACCATTTTGTACAGACTAGCCCTCTTAAAGGCCTTGTCTCAGTTTTTAAAAATAAGGGGCCTGGAATGATAAATCCATATTTCCTTTCAAAAGTGAGTTTTTTCATCTACATGACAACCCACCCACACACCTACAGAATAGCTTCTAAGTAAACAGATATTAGGAATTCCAAGATGAATAAGGTACCATCTCTACCTTTCAGACATTCAGAGTCCTTGGATGGTGGGGTGAGAGTCAACTGTTAAATAGGTAATTATAATGTGGTAGGATCTAATGAAGGCTAAAGGAATTCAAATTTTGAGCAGGATGTGCAACAAAATCAAGGACCCAGATAGGAAACCTAATTCAGGCATTTGCTACTTACTGGCTGTGGATCATGCAATTTAGTTTTGTGCCTTTTTCTCCATCTGTCAAATGGGAAAAAAATCTATTTTAGAAGGCTATAGTAACGAGAAAACTAACATAAAGCACTTACAGTGCCAGGCTGATCATATAAACTCAGTAAATAGCAATTACTAACATCACATGCATGCACACGCTTATGAGGAAAAGTAATTTACTGTACCTTTAGACCTGAAGAAAGGGTCAAAGGGAATTTTCCAGGTGTGTCCACGGAAACAAGACCAGTTTCTCTCTTCTCGGTACCTGGCACAAAACCTGACCCACATACTTGCAACCAATAGTGAACGGAACGAAGTGTTTCAACCATGAGGTCGCAGAGAAAAGATGTGAAAGTAACATGTTACCGCGAGAGAAATCCTTGGATTTCCAGGAGGCTTGCAAACAGTCATTCTCACTGACGTGTTGGGGTTTTCACATTGGCTTTAAGAACTTACCTGCTGTGTGCACTAAGCAAATTCTTGGTATCTTGAGTCCGGACAGGTTGAAGGGAGGAAAGCACCCCAAAGGGAATTCCGAGGACTCAGTGATAGCGGTTGCAGCTGCTACCTCCTCTTTAGACTTTTTTTTTAAAATATGTATGAAACAACAATGTAAGAGATTTTCTTGCAACCAGCACGGGGGGGAAAATTAAAAAAAAAAAAAAATGGTCCCAGGTTTGCCAAGGACGAAAAGGCCCCGCCCGGCCCGCGCTGACCCAGGTCACCGCCGCCAATTGCCGTCCTGGGGGCCCGCATCCGGGTCGCTAAGCACCCAAGAGGGCGAGATCGAAGTCAGGCTGTCCCAAAGACGGGCCTTGGACAGATCTTGGGGGGGGGGGGAGACCGACAGGACTCCCCACGAGAACAAGTTCCACACTAGGGCACGGCCAGCCGCACGGGCGAAGCCCTGGAAAAAAAAAAAAGGGGGGGAGGGGGTGAGAGGGAGGAAGCAGGAAGTGACGCAGCCAGGAGGACCCGGATGTGACCGCCCGCGCCGGAAGTTTACCCGTTTCCATGGCTCCGGCTCCGCCTCCACCTCTCCCTCCTGGTGGCCACCGTTGAGAGGCTGGACAGAGACCCGGGGGAGAGGCTGTCAGGCGCGGGCGGCTGCCGCCTCCGCGACTCGCGAGCGCCGGTGGACGAGGACGGCGGCCGCCTCCCCAGCCCGCACGCGTGGAAGACCGACGGCCGGCACGGTCTGCGCGGCCACCAGTTCAGGGAAAGAGTTAGCGAGGACCAGGAGTTGGGCCGCTGCGACGGCGGGGAGCGGCACCGCGAAGAGCGCCGTCCCCGGCTTCCCGCGGGCAGGATAAACGACGACGTGGGCTTCTCGTGCCGGGACTCGTGGAGAGTCGGCGAAGACCTCGGCCCCCACCGCCATGTCTCTCGGGAGCGGGTCCTGGGCGACGACGGCTACCGGCCCAGCGGCTCCTGGGCGAGAGTGAGGGGGGACCGAGGCTTCCCCCGGAGCTGCGGGGCGAGGGCTGGCGCCGAAGCGGGGCCGTGGCCCAGCGACGCCGGGGAGGCCGTCCGGGAGGGCCGCGGCGGCGGCGGCGGCGGCCTGGGCCTCGGCCTGGGCCTCAGGGGCTCCTGGGACGGCGTCGGGGAAGGCCCGGGCAACCGGGGCCGCGACCAGCGCGGCCGCCCCTCGAACGGCTCCTGGGAGGGGGGCAGCGCGGACGGCAGCAGCCACGGCCTCAGTAGCTCCTGGGACGGCGTGAGCGACGACCGCGGATACGTGGCCAGCGACTCCTCGGCGGGGAGCTTGGGCGCAGACGCCAGGCGCCGCTGCCTGAGCGGCTTCTGGGAGAGAGAAAGCGAAGACGACGCCTGGGAGAGAAGCGGGAGGGAGGACGGGCCGGCCCGCGCTGACGACGACGGCGACGACGGCGGCGACGACGACGACGACGACGGCGACAGCCGCAGCCGAAGCAGTGGTTCATGGGTGAGGGCCAGTGAAGACCGCCGCAGCAGCCGGGGCCTGGACTCAACGCCTCCCCAGAGCCCCAGGCCGAGGGCACGCGCCATGCCAGGGGTGGACAATTCGGGGGGCTCCTCCACTTCGGCTGGAGAGACTCCGAACGCGTGTGAGTCCAGACCCCTCTCTGGCCCCTGTCTCTGCCCCGCTCCCTTCGCTCCCTTCACTTCAGCCCGCAGCAGCCCCAGCACCCGCTCACCCTGTCGCTCCCCTGCCGTCTTATTTTCATCCTTTCCCAAAGCCATTCGCCCTTCCCGCATCCCCTCTCATTTCAGCTTTCCCACTTGCTTTTTATGTGCACTGTGCCCTTCAGTCTTCTTGAGCAGTTTGACATGAGCTGTTCAGATTTATAAATCCCGTGTGTGTGTGTGTGTGTGTGTGTGTGTGTGTGTGTGTAGGTGTGTAGGTGTGTGTAGTGTAGGTGTCGGTTCCGGAGCTTGAAATCAGGGCCTGTGCAATGTCCCTGACCTTTTTTTCTTCTTCTCCTTCCTCTCAAGGCTAGCGCTCTACTACTTGAACCACAGCTCCACTTCAGCTTAGTGGTGGTTAATTGGAGATGAGAGTCTTAGGGACTTTCCTATCCAGGCTTGCTTCGAACCACAACCCTCAGATCTCAGCCTCCTGAGCAGCTAGATTACAAGTGGGAGGCACTGGTGCGTGCGTGCCTAGCCTAGCTTTTTAGTTGGCCGTTTTTTGTTTTTTACCTCTCTCATTTTTATTTATCTATATATTAAATTGTATTTTATTGTAAAGATGCTGTACAGAGGGGTTATAGTTACATGAGTAAGGCAATGAGTACTTTTCTTGTCAAGCATTGTTACCCTCTCCCACTATCCCTTCCCTCCCCTAATTCATTCATCCCTCCCCCCCCCCCCCCCCCCCAAGTTGTAAAGTTCATTTCCAATATACTGTCTTGTGGGTATCATTGTTGCAAAGGGTCATCCTGTGTCCTTGTTTCAGCGTTTTTTTTATTCCTCTTCCCCTCCCCAAATCAGACAGATGTATATACAAAATGCAGGGTACCTTAATCGAGTACAGTGACAACAGGGGATAGGGGAAGAAATTACAAAGGAAACAAAAAAAAAGTCACATTAAAAACAACAACAACAAAGAAAGACCTCTTGAGTCCATATCTTGGAGCTCATTTCACTTAGCATCATCTTATATGGTCATATGTACATAGCTTTTGAGCTTTTCTGCTAATCTGATAAAATTATCCTAGATGTATACTAATTATTGCAAATGAGGGAAAGCATGGAACCTATATCTCTTTGGGTCTGGCTTACTTCAATTAATATGATTTTTTCCAAGTCTTTCCATTTCCTAACAAAAGGGGCGGTGTCATTCTTTCTGATGGAAGCATAGAATTCATATATGTATATCACATTTTTTTGATCCATCTACTGAGGGACATCTGGGTTGGTTCCATATCTTAGCTATGGTGAATAATGCTGCAATAAACATAGTTATGCTGTTAGCTTTAGTATAGATCAACATGTAGTTTTGTTCATATGTCTTCATTTCCTTTAGTATTTGCTACCTCAGTTTACATCACCATAGCACTCCAGTGACTAAGCTAATACACGTTGGAGTTACACCATGCCTCTTCCCTATTTTCAATCACTATAACCATTAAAATTTAGTTCATATTATTTTCTTCAATATTTGTTGAATCTTTCTTCATTTCAGTTCCATTGCCACTATCTTAGTCAAGGTCTCAGTTTTACTGGTCTAGATGCTAATAGCTGTCTTCTTATAGAATCCCTCATTTGCTCACTAGTCAATAAGTTTCCCCTACTGCCATTCATATTAGCATTACAAAGCTGCGTATTATAATTCTTCTGTTTAAAGTCCCTCAATTTTCTACATTTTGCACATAAGATTTTTTTAGAAATTTGAAACAACTGGGGCTGGGAAGTTGGCTCAGTGGTAGAGCGCTTGCCTTGCATGCCTGAGGCCCTGGGTTCGATTCCTCAGCACCACATAAAAAAAAAAACCGGAAGTGATGCTATGGCTCAAGTGGTAGAGCGCTAGCCTTGAGCTGAAGAGCTGAGGGACAGCGCCCATAGGCCCAGAGTTCAGACCCCACAACTGGACCCTCCCCCCCCCCCCAAAAAAAAAAAGAAATTTGAAACAACTAAAAGTTTGTCTTTTGTTGGATTCCAATCTCTTCCATTTTATGCTTCAACTGTAGAATTTCTTGTTTTTCAAACTGTGTCCTGATGTTTATGTTGTCTAGAATGGTAAATTCTTGCTAATTCTTGAAGTTTCATCTTAGATAGGCTCCTTCTTTCCTTTCCTTCCTGTACTGGAAGTTATCTGTGTCCATAAGTTCTCATGGATATTTCTGTCATTGCTGTTGTCATATTGTTTTATAATTTGTGTTTGTTTCTTATCTATGAGTTCCTGAGGGTAGAGATCATGTCTTCATCTTTTTATACTTTTACTAATCATCAAATTAATCTTAAATGAAAAGATTGGTGGGTTAAAGAATGAATTGGGATGGAATATGGTGAGAAAAAAGGGTTTAAAATTAGGTGGGGGGTCAAATGATGGGTGAAATGAACTGTCATGTTGAGCGTTTGGATTTTTTTCTATAAACTACCTGTGGCCACCAGTCACCACTAGAGAAGAGACTTGAAGTGGCCAAGAATAATATTTCTGTATAAAGTAGATTGGAAATACTATTTATAGTAGTTTAAAGGTGAAGAACAAAGATCTAACCCAGTGGACTAGCATCATTGAACATTTACTAGTGTTTGTGTCTTTCTTGCTCCTTTTCCCTATTCTTACTGTTCTTCAAGGTCTTGCTCTTGTTTCCTTTTTCTCTATAATGTCATTCATTGATTTGTCCTTTTTTTGGTATTGGGGCTTGGTCTGGGTGCTGTCCCTTCTTTGCTCAAGGCTAGTGCTCTGCCACTTTGAGGGACAGCTCCACTTCTGGTTTTGGGGTAGGTAAATGGAGATAACAGTCTCATGGATTTTCTTGCTCGGGCTGGCTTTGAACCATAATCCTCAGATCTCAGTCTCCTGAGTAGCTAGGATTACAAGTGAGAGCCACCAGCTGATTAATAGTTCTTAATTATTTTTTGTTGTCTAGGTGAGGTATAGAGGGGTTACAGTTATATAAACAAGGTAATAAGTACATTTTTTGTGAAACTTTTTACCCTTTGCCTCATTTTTTTTCCTGCTTTCCCTCCCCCATTCTTAATTTTACTAATCCTCACTGCTGTTAGCTTTTTTTCCCTCATTACATTTATCCAAAAAGATTCTGAAGTGTTGGAGGAAAGGAAATGTATAAAATCCGCATGTATTTTTTTATAATACATGTGCTTGGTACATGATAGATAGAAATTTTGAGTATATGTAAATTTTTTGCTAAGGGTTAGTATATGGTATGCTTTTATTGTAAGATATGATTCTAGCCTTTGATTACTGGGCTTGGTAGTATGTGCCTGCAGTCCCAGATGCTTGAGGGACAGAGGTGGGAAGATCAATGAAATCTAGCAGTTTGAACTTAACCTAAATAACATAAGGGAATCCTATCTCAAAAAGAAATGAACATTCTGCTTGTGAAGAAGAAATCCATACAAGTAAATGCTAGTACAAGTGTACGTAGATTATTTGCGTGAATATTGGCTGTTTTCAGCGCAAGTAGAGGTTAGGAATCTTGCTTTTTTGTCTTTTTTTTAAGAGAATGTTTTGATTGAAATATTCCTTCTTCAGTAACTGTTAATGCTTAGATAATTTTATTGTTGCTGGCTTACAGTGCACATTAAAATACTTCACAGTCCAGTAAACTAGATAATGTCTCCATGTTTATAAAAATAAAAATATTGATCAAATATGTCTGTATATGTGAAATAAAGCTTGGTGATTTTTTCACTGGTGAGTTGGCTGTTGTTAAAAAGAATTGATTGAATATACTTTGTCCAAAGTTGTCATGCTCTATTTGCCCTGCCATGATATGAAGTGATTTGTTCTTGGGTTTTTACACTGATATTCTGTGGGGTTTCTGAAGGTAAAAATATAGGGCCTCTCTAAGAGTGAAGACCCTAGGAGTTTCTGTGTGTGTGTGTGTGTGTGTGTGTGTGTGTGTGCTTGTACTTGGGCTTGAACTCAGGGCCTAGGCTCTGTCCCTTAGCATTTTTGGTCAATGCTAGTGCTCTATCACTTGACCCATACCTCCACTTCTGGCTTTTGGTAGTTAATTGGTGATAAGAGAATTGGCGTTAAGTGCCTCATAGGTTTTCCTGCCTGGGCTGGTTTTAAACCTCAATTATCAGATTTCAGCTTCTTGAGTAGCTAGGATTGCAGGCATGAGGCTTGAACTCTAGGTCTGGGTGCTGTCCCTCAGCTTTTCAGCTCAAGGCTAGTACTCTACCACTTGAGCCCCAGTGCCACTTCCAGTTTTCTGGTGGTTTATTAGAAATAAGAGTCTCATGGCCTTTTCTGGCCATGCTGGCTTTGAACTGCAATCCTCAGATCTCAGCCTCCTGAGTAGCTAGGATTACAGGCATGAGCCACAGGTGCCTGGCTGTGTTTCCCATTTTTAAGATAGTCTTATCCTGAGCAAGTCATTAGACTAACTACTCAAGCACTTGTACCAATTTATTACTACAGTAGCTTCTGGTTTAAGTAAGCTGAACTTAGCTACATTTGTCTGTACATGTTTTCTTTTCCATATTTGAAAGGGAAGTTAGCTTTGAGGTCTCCATTCTCAGGTCCAAGGAAAGATTTTCTGTCTGTGTATTCAGTTTTTTTCCTATAAGGATGAGAATGACAGCTTTCATGTCAGAACTAAAATGGGAAGTGGGGTTAAGGTGTTCATCACAAATATCTCTGTAATCAGTTATTTGGAAAGCTGATAGGAGTTTGTGGTTTCTATTGAATGATTGCTTTAGTCCTTTTTTTGTGTATGTGGTTCTGAAGCATTTGACTTTTCAATAGATTCCAAGAAGAAAGTGCATTTTGGTAGCATTCATGATGCAGTACGGGCTGGAGATGTAAAGCAGCTTTCAGAAATTGTAGAACATGGAACCAACATTAATGAAGCTGATCTTCTTCATAAATTTACCCCTTTACAGTGGGCGGCACATTCTGGAAGTTTGGAGGTAAGAAGCTATATATATTATTAAACTAAGATAGCTTTCTTTTGGCTTTTTTTTTTTTTTTTTTTTTGGGTCCGGTCATGGGGCTTTGAACTCTGGGCCTGGGCGCTGTCCCTCAGCTCTTCAGCTCAAGGCTAGCACTCTACCACAGTGCCACTTCCGGCTTTTTTCTTTTTGCTTATGTGGTGCTGAGGAATCGAACCCAGGGCCTCATGCATGCAAGGCAAGCGCTCTACCACTGAGCCACCTTCCCAGCCCCTTTCTTTTGGCTTTTTGACCAGCACCATAGTGGTAGGGAAGAACAAGCATCTTATAAAAGGCCAAGGGAGCCAAGAAGAAAATGGTTGATACATTTTCTAAGAAGGATTGGTATGATGTGAAAGCACTGGCCACGTTCAACATAAGGAATATTTGTAAAACACTAGTCACAAGGACCCAAGGAACCAAAATGGCATCTGATGGCCTCAGGGTTGGGTATTTGAGATGGGCCTTGCTGATCTGCAGAATGGTGAAGTTGTATTTAGAAAATTCAAGCTAATTACTGTTCAGGGCAAGAAACTGCCTCACCAACTTCCATGGCATGGATCTCAACTGAGACGAAATGTGTTCTATGGTCAAAAAGTAGCAGACCATAATTGAAGCTTGTGTTGATGTGAAGACCAAAGATGGTTATTTGCTTCGTCTCTTTTGTGTTGGTTTTACTAAAAACCCAACAATCAGATCTCCAAGACCTCCTATGCTCAGCACCAGCAGGACTGCCGGATCTGGAAGGAGATGGAAATTATGACCCAAGAAGTGAAGACAAATGACTTGAAAGAAGTAGCTAATAACATTTGATTCCAGATGCATTGGGAAAGACATAGAAAAGGTTTGCCAGTCTATTTACTTCATGATGTCTTCATTAGCAAACTGAAAATGCTGAAGAAGATCAAGTTTGAATTGGAAAAACTCATTGAGCCTCATGGTGAAGGTGGTAGTTCTGGAAAAGCTACTGGTTACAAGACTGGTGCTAAAGTTGAGCAAGCTGATGGATAAAAACCACCAGTCCAAGAATCTGTTTAAAATTCAATTTTAATCGTGACAAATAAAAGGGCTATTTGTGAAAAAAACTACTAAGATAACTTTATAACTCTAGCAGTTTTATATTTGCAGTGAATAGGGCTGGGATCTTATGCTAGGTACTGTAAATAGTTTTTTCAATTCAGCCTAATGTTTGGATGTTATGTTTCTATTCGGACTTTATAACAAATTATCCCCAAACTCAGTGTCATAAAATAGCCACTTATTTATGCTCGTTAGTGAACCAATAACTTGGATCCCAGGAATAGCTTATCTCTGCTCCATAATGTCAGCTGGAAGATTCAAGAGCTGGGGCTAGAATTTTCACAAACCTTGCTAACACAGGTACCTGGTAGTTGGCTGGCTTTTGTGTGCCATTTTGTGAGTTATGGCCACTCAGGCTAGCTTCTTCATAATATGGTACCTGGGTTCTAAAAGCAATCACAAGATGTTATACAGGATAACATAATACCTGTCCTAGCATTTTTTGCTATAATAGCTTCAGATATTTAGAAAAAAATATAATATTATATTCTAAGAACTCTAGTATGAACACTCCTCATTCTAACTCCAAAGTTAAATATTTTGTAGACTGGGTTTATTAGTCCCAGCCATGTTTTTGCTATTATTATGCATGATTTTATAATTCTTTTGGTTAGTGTGATATAAATTATATGTATACTTTTCAGCTTGTTTTATTTGTTGAAGGATATGATTTTGAACTTTAATAATGTGGATTAATATATGTAATCTAGTTAATTTCTTTCAACAACATTGTAGTAGTCTATTCCTAGACTGAAAATAGTTTAATTATTACTTTTTCTAATGATGGTTTTATTTTTTTTAGCTTATACAAACAATGCTTAGTAAATTTTTTTTTTGGGGGGTCTGGTCGTGGGGCCTGAACTCTGGGCCTGGGCCCTGTCCCTCAGCTCTTCAGCTCAAGGCTAGCGCTCTACCACTTGAGCCACAGTGCCACTTCTGGCTTTTTTTTTCTTTTTGCTTATGTGGTACTGAGAAATCGAACCCAGGGCCTCAGGCATGCAAGGTAAGTGCTCTACCACTGAGCCACCTTCCCAGCCCCTGTTTAGTAAATATTTTTATGCATGTTATCTTCTATTCTTGGCTTGTGTATAAGGACAATGGGAATTTTTCTCATATATCAAGACTTAGTGTGGTTGGGGTGCTTATTTTAACTGCTACATTTTTGGGTGCATATGCCACAGGCAATCATAAATGTGTCTTCCTCTTCTCACACACACACACACACGCACACACACACACTCAAATATACACATATACAGATACAGATACACAGACACACAGCTTTCTATGAGCATGACTGTTTGATGTGGTTTTTGTCTTTATTTGGACTTCTGCTTCATATAAGCCAGTCTGGCTCAGAGAATCTCCTTCTATTTGTGTGCCTCAATTGAAGTAAACAAGAAATTTTTACTTTGGCCTATCAGTAATACATATTATGTGGGAGAAATGGTTCTTTATGTTCTAGTAGCCCTTCTGTATATTCTCTGTGTCCCTCCCCCACCAAATCTCTATTTGATCTGTATTCCATTATTACCTGTTTTGGATATTTCACATTATTAACATATGTGACAGTATCATATTGATACAGTCAGAACTGGTCAATAGCTCAGTTGATTCTTCCTCATTTTTGTCTCCTGAATTGTTTGATTCTGTCCACCTATTATCCAACTTTATCTCCTGTCATACTTTTTATGCTGAAATGACAACTGTCATTTCCCAAACTAGTCCACTGTTTCATATTATCATATACTGCATATATATATGCTATTTCATTTCCTGGGTGTCTCCTCTTTCCCCAGGTTTTCTGGTTAAAGCCTGGATCAGGTAGCGTCTACTTGGTCAAGACTTCTGTTTCCTCCTTCAGTAACATCCAACTACTTACTTATTCCTGAGTACTACCCCTAAATCATCTTCATTTTCCAAATTGTAATTATCACATTGAGTCATGCTTTCTGTCAGAATTTGAGTTCTTTGAAGGTAGCATTTAAATTTATTACGTAGTTCTTATTTCACAACACCTAGCATAGTGTCTAGTATTTAGGTGTTACATCATAAGTTTCAGGCAATGTTTGTTGCACTGCTGAATTTTTTAAGTTAATTTTATATTTGTATGTTTAGTATTGAACATATAGTAATAGAGATGTTTAAGAAAAGTTTATTGAAGAAGTAGAGGTGTAGCTCAAGGGATAGAGTGCCACCCTTGAGAGAAAAAAACAGGCAAGAGTGAAAGGTCCTGAGTTTGAGCTCCAGTACCAGCATAGCAAAACAAAAGCAAAACAAGCAAAAAAGTTTGTTGAATCTTAGCTAAAGTAATATAAGCCAAAAAGTTTAGTGTTTTTTTTTTTACATGCATACTAAAAGATGACCTCCTAAATGTTTACTGGAGCACCTTCACATTTTGTTATTCCTTTGATACTTCATGAGCCTTGGGGTCCTTGAACACTGATAGTATGAAGCAATCACTGACCTAACAAATGATGAAAAACTATGCCCTTCATTTTTTTTCTTTTGTTAGATGAAATCTATTGAACCGCTGTAGAGAACATTCTATTTCAGATATACTTTTCAATTAACAAACTTACATCTAACTTTAAAAAATAATTATTCTGTGTTTATCTACATTCTCTATTTGATGAGTCTTTGGTATACTTCCCTTTAATTCTTAAATACATTTTTGTTCTTGAGTATATTTATTTATTTATTTATTTATTTTGGTCTGGTTGTGGGGCCTGAACTCTGGGCCTGGGCGCTGTCCCTCAGCTCTTTTGCTCAAGGCTTAGCGCTCTACCACTTGAGCCACAGCGCCACTTCCGGCTTTTTTCTTTTTGCTTATGTGGTGCTGAGGAATCGAACCCAGAACCTCATGCATGCAAGGCAAGTGCTCTACCACTGAGCCACCTTCCCAGCCCCTTCAGTATATTTATAATAGCTGCTTTGAAATCTCGCTAACTCTAATACCTCAGTCATTTTTCTTTGTCTCAGAATTTTTAAGGTTTTACTTGACATTTTGAAAACTGGGCATTTTAGAGAATAAAGTAATGCTGACATCAGCTGGGCGCTGGTGGCTCACACCAGTAATCCTAGCTACTCAGGAGGCTGAGATCTGAGGGCCACAGGTTCAAAGCCAGCCCAGACAGGAAAGTCCGTGAGACTTATCTCCAAGAAACCACTCAGAAAACCGGAAGTGGCGCTGTGGCTCAAGTGGTAGAGTGCTCACCTTGAGCTGAAGAGCTGAAGGACAGTGCCCAGGCCCAGAGTTCAAGCCTCATGACCGATTCCCCCCCTCCCCCCCCAAATGCTGGCATCAGATCCTTCTTCCCTGCCCAGTGGTGATTGTTGCTGGTTGTTTGTTGTAACCTGCTTGGACTAATTGTGTGGAGTCCATTTCCCCCATAGTGTGTGGCCACTGATGTCTCTGCTCAGACTTAAAAAAAAAAATAGCTTTTATATTAACTTTTTTTGTGCTAGTAGTAAGAGTTAAACTCAGGGCCTTAAGCTCTCAAGAATCTTTTTCTACTCACTGCTAGATCTCTACTACTTGAGACTCACTTCCAGTTCCTCTTTTTTTCTGGTTAATTGGAGATGAAAATCTGATGACTTTGAACCATGATCCTCAGATCTCAACCTACTGACTAACTGTTACTTTAGATTCACATTTTTGTGTTTAGTTAAATTGATTTTTGATGAAGATGCAAATTCATTTTAATGGGGAACAGATAATATTTTTATTAAGTGATTCTGGCAGTATTAGATTTTTTTTTTTTGTTAGTCATGGGCCTTGAACTCTGGGCCTGGGCGCTGTCCCTGAGTTCTTCATCTTAAGGCTAGTACTCTACCACTTGAGCCACAGCACCACTTCTGGCTTTTTTCTCTTTATGTGGTGCTGAGGAATCAAATCCAGGGCTTCATGCATGCAAAGCAAGCATTCTACCACTGAGCCACCTTCCCAGCCCAATATTAGATACTTATATGTAAAAAAAATTAACCTTAGTTGGGCGTCGGTGGCTCAGGCCTGTAATCCTAGCTAAGCAGGAGGCTGAGATCTGAGGATCGCAGTTCAAAGCCAGCCTGGACAGGAAAGTCCGTGAAACTCTTATCTCCAATAAAACCACCAGAAGACCGGAAGTGGCGCTATAGCTCAAGTGGTAGAGTGCTAGCCTTGAGCCAAAGAGCTGAGGGATAGTGCCCAGGCCCAGAGTTCAAGCCCCATGACCAACAACAACAAAAAATGAACCTTGGCCCACAGAAAGCACCATATTCAAAATTTTTCAAAACAGACAAGAGATAAGTATAAAACTTGCAAAATTGTAATTTGTAAAACTTATAGAAGAAAACCTAGGAGAAAATATTTACAAATCATATACTAAGAACTGTAGCCAGCTTAAATAAAGTACTCTCAGAACTCAACAGTAAAACAAACAAATCTATAAATGGGCAAAACAGTGAATATCTGAATGCCAGTGCCTCACTTTTGTAATCCTACCTGCTAAAGAGGCTGAGATCTGAGGATTGTGATTCAGAGCCACCAGGGCAGACAAGTCTGAGAAACACTTATTTCAAATTGGCCAGCAAAAAGCCAGAAGTGGAGCTATAGCTTAAGTGCTAGAGTGCTAGCCTTGAGTAAAAAAGCTAAATGAGAGCTAGAGGCCCTGATTTCAAGTCTTAGTACCAGCACACACACACAAAAGTAAAATAGACATTTTCTCTAAGAGAACATATAGATGGCAGTTGAATATTCAATATCATTATCCATTAGTGAAATGCAAATTGAAATTATAATGAGATGCCACTCTGAAGCCACAGGAATGTCAAAAATGAAACAAAACATCCCCCAAAAGATGATACCAAATATTGCTAAGAATATGGGGAATCTGGAATTCTCATTTTTGGCTGCTGAGAATGTAAGATAATATAGCCAATTTGTAAAACATCTGGGCAGGATTTTTTTAAATAAAGCACACATACACTTATTTTCATATCCTTGCAACCTTGTTTCTACATATGAAGAGCAATGTCAAATCAATATATGAAAGTTTAACGTGGATTTATTCTCCAGTATCTGAACAATGCCCATGAATACTTATTGAATAAGTAAATTCCTATGATTATTAGTGAGACTGAGCCTTTTAAAATATTTTGTTGTTTTCTGATTTCTGTGACAGACAAATCATATCATGTTGCTGTGCTTGTGCTTTTGTTTTCCTATTTTTTTTTCTTCCAGTTTTGGGGTTTGACCTGAGGGCCTTGTGCTAACTAGGCAAGTGCTCTTTACACTTGAGCCATACTTCCAGTCCTTGCTTTTATTTTTCTGGTTTATTCAGTCATTTATGATGTTTTTCATTGGGAATTTCATTATAGTGGACTAACTTTAAAAGCTAAAAAAAAATACTAACAACATTCAATTTGTCTCTCGTTAACATGGTTATTTTCTTACCTTAGTGTCTTCATTGGCTGCTCTGGCATGGAGCTGATGTCACACAAAGTACTGCGAGAGGTTGGACAGCAGCTCACATAGCTGCAATCAGGGGTCAGGATGCTTGTATGCAGGTAATAATAACTTAGCTTACTTAAAATTTTTTGTTGTTATTATAAAGATGATATACAGAAGGGGTACAGTTATATGTCAGGTAAAGAGTAAGCTTGGCTTACATTTTAAAAATTCAGTGATTTCAATTGCTTTAGCATATAGAAATTAGTTATTTCCAGTGATTGATAGGTTGGCAGTAATTACCAATTCAGACAAATGATATGAACCAGAGATCCTTTAATCTGTGAAGTACGTGGCTGTTTTGGGTGGTTGTTGTGAGAGATTTCACAATATTCTCAGAGTATTATCTACTTTATAGCTTGCTGCTATAGTCCAAATTAACATGTTCAAATCTTTTTAAAATGTTTTTTATTGTAAAAATGCTGTACAGAGGGGTTACAGTTACACGAGCAAGGTAATGAGTACATTTCCTATTGAGTATTGTTGCCTCCTCCTCTGTTAACATGTTCAAATCTTAACCCTCAAATACTGGGTGTCAATTTGAGAAGCTAATGAAAGGAAAGAGAAGACTACAGAAGTAACTTCAGAGGCCATCAGGATCAAATAAAGCTTTACTTAATGCTTTCTTCTGCCAACTGTTACTTCAAGTTATTTCCTGTGCTTTGATTATCTTTTTCTTCCTTCTCAGAGGTTTTGTGGTACCTTTTTTTTTGTCACTCCTGGTGCTTGAGCTCAGGGCATGGGCACTGTCTCTGAGTTTATTTTGCTCAAGGCTAGAGCACTCTACTACTTGAGCCACGGCTCCACTTCCAGCTTTTTCTATGTATGTGGTCCTGAGGAATGGAACTCAGGGCTTCACGTATGTTAGGCAAGCACTCTACCACTAAGCCACATTCCCAACACTGTTGTACTTTTTTTTGATGTGTGTGTGTGTATAGCGATCCTTTATAGCGATTCTAGCTTTTCCTTATTATGGACTGCTATGTATTGTTGATTATCTTGAACTCTGGGCTTTGAGCTCTCCTTTAGCTTTTTCTGCTCAAGGCTGGTAGGTGCTGCTTTACAGTTAGCTATAACTCCCCTGCTGGTTATTTGCTGATAAATTGAAGATTTCCCGGACTTCCTGCCTGGCCTTGCTTTGAACCAGGATCTTCAGATATCAGCCTCCTGAGTAGTTAGGATTACAGGCGTGAGCCGCTAGTGCCAGGCTTTGTTGATTATCTTTATCTATGTTTTCTACATCCTAAGTTTTATATTTTTTCGTGATTTTGGAACACAGTAAGTGCTCAATATATCATTTGTTTGCTAGTTTTATCAGACAAAAATGTGGAAATCACACTTTCTAAAACCCTTCATAGGAGTTATAGCTGAGGAATCCTTTGTTGAGATAATGATAAAGATTGATTAAAAGAGAGAGGAAGGGTTAGGCTTGGTGATACACTATTGTAATCCTAGAACTCTGGAAGGGGAGACAGGAGAACCACAAGTTCAAAGCTAGCTTGGGCTATCGAGAGAGTCCAGGCTATCTTGACCTACATAATGAGCCACTGCCTCAACACAAAGATAAAAACACAAAAAAGGAAGACAGAGAAAGAAAGAGGAGAGGAGGGAAGGAAAAATAGTGGGGAAAGGAAAGCTGAGTAAGAAACTAATTTAAAAAATATTAACTAGGGATTGGGCATGTAGCTTCGTGATATAATACATGCTTAGTGTGGTGAAGGCCCTAGATTAAATTCTTAGCATCAAAAAGTAAAAATTTGATAGTTTTTTTTATTAAAAGAAATGCTTTATTTTTTAAGAACAGTTTTAGTTTGAGCAAAGTTGAACAGGAGGTACGAGGTACAGGGATTTCTCATTGATGAGTGGAAGAACTGATTTCTTAACTGATAAATCTATACTGATACCTCATCTCATAATCATCCCAAGTCTGTAGATTACATTTGAGTTCACTATTGGTTTTGAGATATCTGTATTTATTATATATTTATCTTTATCTAGAGATATCTCTACTGTTATAATATCATATAGAGTAATTTCACTTTAATAAAATTCCTCTGTACTCTATCTGTTCATCCTTCCCTTCCTCCTAACCCCTGACAACCACTACATTTTTTTTTTTTTGGTTGGTCTCGGGGCTTGAATTCTGGGCTTGGGCGCTGTCCCTGCACTCTTCAGCTCAAGGTGAGCACTCTACTTGAGGCACAGCGCCAATTTTCTAGCAAACACTAATTTTTTTGATTCTCTTTGTAATTTTGCTTTTTCAAGGATGCTATATAATTAAAATTACATGGAACTTGACCTTTCTAGATTATCTTCATTCACTTAATAATATACATGTTTTTTTCATAGGTTGATAGTTCATCTTTCTCTTTCTCTCTTCCTGTTTTATCAGACAGTGTCTCACTATGTAGCCCAACCTGGCCTTGAACTTGTGATCCTCCTGCTTTATTTTCAAAGTGCTGGGATTATAGACATGCAATAGCATATCTGGTACTCATTTCTTTTAGTACTGAGTAATGTTCCATTGTATGAATGTACAACTGCTTGATTTTCATTCACCTATTGAAAATTATCTTTGTTGCTTTCAAGTTCTGGCAGTCATGAATAAGGTTGCAATAAACATTCATATTCAGGTTTTTGTGTAAACATAAATTTTCAGCCAAGGAGTATAACTTATGGATTATCAGATTATGTATAGTTGTGTGTGTGTGTGTGTGTGTGTGTGTGTGTGTGTGTGTGTCCATGTGTCCAGCTATCCCCCAAATGGAGCTCTTGCTTGGCTTTTTTGGTTAGCTGGCCTTCTACTACTTGAGCCATACCTCTAGTTTTTTAGGATTTTACTGCTTAGTTGGAGATAATTTCTCAGATTTGTCTTCCCAAGCTGGCTGTGAACTATGGATCCTCAGGTCTTAGCCTCCTGAGTAACTAGGATTACAGGTGTGTGCCACCAACATGGATCCTAATGTGTATTTCTTGTTCAGAAATAATTTTCTTTGCTTATTTCCTCAAAAGCATGGCTTCCTTGAGAAGAAAGAGAATGCCTTTTATCTTTGTTTCCAGGATAGTTGGGCACTCTAAGCAGACACTTAGGATATGGTGGAAGGAAGAAAGCTTTTTCCGGGGCTGGGAAGGTGGCTCAGTGGTAGAGCACTTGCCTTGCATGCCTGAGGCCCTGGGTTCGATTCCTCAGCACCACATAAGCAAAAAGAAAAAAGCCGGAAGTGGCGCTATGGCTCAAGTGGTAGAGCGCTAGCCTTGAGCTGAAGAGCTGAGGGACAGCGCCTAGGCCCAGAGTTCAGGCCCCACAACCGGACCAAAAAAAAACAACAACAACAAAAAAAAAGAAAGCTTTTTCCTGGTTGAGCCAGCAATATCTGGCTATATTTAGTTTTTTAAGAAACTGCATTTTCTTTTTAACCAAAATAGTACCATTGTTTTAAGCTAGCTCCTAACTTGCAACAAATGAGAGTACTTGTTGTTCCTCATTTCTGCCAGCATTTGACATTTTTGGTGTTAATGATTTTGGTTTTTCTAATAAGTAGGTAGTGGTATCTTAATTTGAGTTTCCCTGATCATATTTGATATATGGAGCATTTTTTCATATCCTGTGTGCCACACATATATCTTCTTTGGTAAGGTGTCTGGCCCCTCTCTCTCTCTATCTCTCTGTCTCTGTCTCTGTCTTTTATTGAATGCAAGGTATCCTTCATGTTAAGCAAGCACTGAGCTACATCCCAAGCCATTTTTGCTTTTATTTTTCAGATAAGGTTTCACACTTTTTGCTTGACACAAGCCTGGGACTTCTTGCCTATACCTCCTGTGTAGTGAAGATTACATGCATGTATCACCACACCTCTTCCCCTGCCCCACTGTTATTTGTTTGTTTGTTTTGTTGGTCGAGGGCTTGAACTCTAGCTGTCCCTGAACTCTTCAGCTCAAGGCAACCACTCTACTACTTGAGCCACATTGCCACTTCCGGTTTTCTGGTGATTTATTGGAGATAAGAGTCTCCTGGAGCCAGGTGCCAGTGGCTCACACCTGTAATCCTAGCTACTCAGGAGGCTGAGCTCTGAGGGTCACTGTTCAAAGCCAGCCCGGGCAGGTAAGTCTGTGAGACTCTTATCTCCAATAAACCACTAGAAAACCAGAAGTGGTGCTGTGGCTCAAGTGGTAGAGTGCTCGCCTTGAGTTGAAGAGCTGAGGGATAGCCCTCAAGCCCAGAGTTCAAGCCCCATGACTGACAAAAAGAAAAAAAAAAGAGTCTTATGGACTTTCTTGCCCAGGCTGGCTTTGAACCTTGATCCTCAGATCTCAGCCTCCTGAGTAGCTAGGATTACAGGCGTGAACCACCAGCTCTTGGCTTATTTATTCATTTTTATTATAAAAGTTATATACAGAAGGAAGGATTACAGTTATATAAATCCCATAAAGAGTACATTTCTTTTTGGACATTGTCACTCCTTCCCTCACTCCTGCCTCAATTTTTTTTTTTTTTTGTTTTTTTGTTTTTTTTGGTCGGTTGTGGGGCTTAACTCTGGGCCTGGGCGCTGTCCCTGCGCTCTTCAGCTCAAGGCGAGCGCTCTACCGCTTGAGCCACAGCGCCACTTCCCTGCCCCAATTTTTAAACCTAAGGCATTAACAAACTTTTATTACTTTATTAAAATACAAATAATCCTTAATACCATAGTCAGTAGAAGTTAACATGCATCTTTTCCCCCCTCTTTTTGTTATACATAAATACCAAGGGTGGTATGTTGTTTCCATTGTGACAAATCCAGAGATGTCTTTTTATTCTCTTGCCAGTGTCTTTGTAGAGCAGCAGGTTTTTAAATTTTAATGGTGTTCAGTTTGTCAATTCTTTCTTTCTTTAATTGTGCCATCGGTGTTGTATTTCAAAAGTTATAACCTATGCTCTTATACTATCTTATAGGAGTTTTATAGTTTTTCATTTTGTGTGCGATCCATTTTGAGATAACTTTTTGGAGGATGTAACATCTGTGTTTACATTCATCATTGGTACATGTGAATGTCTGGTTGTTCCAGCAACGTTTGTTGAAAGGAAAACCTTTTTCACTGTATTATTGCCATAGTTTCTCTGTCCAAGTTATAATTCTTTTAAACTAGTTACTCTGTATTTTAAAGTGGTGTGCTGTGTATTACATAAACCATATATAGAAACTGAATTGAAAATTAATATTAAACTTGTTTAGATACTTGATCTGGAGCTGAGAACTAGTTAATTTTTAATAATTAAATCATTTTATTGACTTCAAAGCCCAGTTTATGAAAGAATATACCTTTTAAACAGTAAAACTTTATATTTTTATTATCTGTGCTTAAAAACTGTGCCTTATAAATTGTATGTACATGCTCATACCTGCATGTAAAGTCAGGATTGTATCTCCTTAGGCAGTGTTAAGAATGTCTCACAGTTTGCCTATATAACACATATGTAATGAAATAGTAATTTTTGTTATAGGTTAATAAATTGCTTGCCTTCAATCTGTATTTGCATTTATAATTTAACATCTGTACTCATTAAACTCATTTCTCCAATTTTAGGCTCTTATCATCAATGGAGCAAATCTGGCAGCTCGAGATGATCGTGGGTGCACTCCTGTGCACCTTGCTGCAACCCATGGACATTCCTTCACTTTGCAAATAATGCTCCGAAGTGGAGTGGTGAGGAATCCTATTTCTATATGAAATTATGCATTCATATAGATGAAATACTGCTTGGTGGTCTGATCATTTTTTCCTGACTATTTAAATTCCTTCTTTGACTTGGAGAAGTAATTTAGTTGTTCCCTTTAGCTTTTGGCCTTTAAGCATGGAAGCAATAATTTATTTTAAAAAATTATTGTAAAGGTGATGTTTAGAGGGGTTACGGTTACATAAGTAAGGTAATGAGTACATTTCTTTTTCAACAGTGTTACCCCTCCCTTGTTTTCTCTCTCTCCCCCCTACCCTAAGTTCATTTCCAACATAGTATCTAGTGAGTATCACTGTTGCATTGGTTCACCTTTTATCCCACTGTTTTTATAATTCTCCTTCCCTTCCCCAAATCAGATAAACTTATATATATGACAGAGGGTACAGAAATAAAAAACAGTGACAACAGGGAACAAACCAAAGAAAAAAAAAGAAAAAAGTAATAATTGCAAACAGTACAATTTTAAAAAAACTTTTGGAAATTAATAATTTAGACAAGTATCTGTAGTAGTGCAGAGTATTTCAGAGGCTCTGTATTTGTGTGTGTGTGTATGTGTGTGTGTATGTGTGTGTATATATATATGTAAGTATCAGTTTGAATTTTAACCAAGGAGATAGCTCTTAAAGAATCATAGTCAGGTGATTATAAATCTTTATGAGTGGAGCTGGGAAGGTGGTAGAGTGCTTGCCTTGCAAGCATGAGGCCCTGGGTTCAATTCCTCAGCAGCACATAAGCAGAAAAAGCTGGAAGTGGCGCTGTGGCTCAAGCAGTCGGGGGGACAGTAGCTTTGAGCTGAAGAGCTGAGCACCTAGGTCCAGAGTTCAGGTCCCATGACCGGCAAAAAAAAAAATCATTATGAGTTTCTGTGTGTCTGTGTTTCTTTTGAAACTCTTATATACTCATTTAGAAAGTGACTTATTTTCCAGAAATTTCATTTATTAATTGAAAAATCTTTAATATTACCTAGTGGAGGCAAAAAATAAGTTCTTATTTAAAAAATCTATGTATATTAAAGGCATTGTGGCAACAGCTTTTGTTTTATAGTTAAATTGAAAAGCATATTAAATATTTTTTATGTTATGCTCTCAGTGATAAAATTTTGTCATTTTAATGTATCAGTTTTATTGATCAAGAATCTCTGACTAGTAAAATGGATGGTTATTTACTTTTTAAGAACTATTTTGTATAATTAGTTGTGTTCTTTTGTTTTTCTGGTACTGGGCCTTGAACGCAGGGCCTCAAATTCTCCTGTATCTTTTTTTGCTCAGGGCTAGTGCTCTACCACTTGAGCCATTCCTCCACTTTTAGCTTTTTTTTTTGGCTAATTGGAGATAACAGTCTCTTGGACTTTGAACCATAATTCTCAGATCTCCTGAGTAACTAGGATTGTAAGTGTGAAACATCAACACCTGACCAGTTGTGTTCTTTTTAAAGGTTATTTTATAAAACTTAAACTAATATTTTCTTTGCTCATGTGTTCAAATCCATGGTTGCAGTAAAATTGTTCTGTTCAACTTAGTGTTTGCCTTATAATTTTAAGAACAGCTTTTTTTTTTTTTTTGCAGAATGAAACTGTTAGATGTAATATTTTCCCTCCAAAATAAAAACTGAGTACTTGTGAATGTTACCTTTAGGATCCCAGTGTGACTGACAAGCGAGACTGGAGACCTGTACACTATGCAGCCTTTCACGGTCGGCTTGGCTGTTTGCAACTTCTTGTCAAGTGGGGATGTGGCATAGAAGAGGTAGACTGCAATGGGAACCTCCCGGGTATGCTACCAAAGCAGACATTTCAGTCTTTCATTAATACAAACTTTAATTGCCTGACAGTATTTAAGAAATGTGCTGGGTGCCAGAGGCTCAGGCCTGTAATCCTAGCTACTCAGGAGGCTGAGATTTGAAGATTGTGTTTTGAAGCCAGCCTAGGCAAGAAAGGCCATGAGACTCTTACCTCCAATTAATCACAGAGAAAGCTGCAAGTGGTGAAGGGGGCACTGTGGCTCAAGTGGTAGAGTGCAAGCCTTGAATAAAAGAAGCCTAAGGACAGCATGTAGGCTGTGCATTCAAGCCCAAGGACCAGCAAAAACTACCCTCATTCTTCAGTTGCTTGCAAAATTACAGTAGTATGTATGTTGGCATGTACTTTTTCTTATTAGTATATTTTAGTTATATAGAGGGATTTTATTGTTATTTTCCATACACGTGAATAATATATTATTGAACTCAGGGCCTGAGTACTGTCTCTGAGCCTCTTTGTGCTCAAGGATAATGCTCTACCACTAGAGCCACAATGCCACTTTCAATGCCACATTGTTTTTCTTTTAATGCCTATCCTGGGGCTTGAACTGAGGGCCTGAACGCTATCCCTGAGTGATTTTTGCTCTAGGCTGGTACTCTACCACTTAAACCACAGTTCCATTTCTGGCTTTTTGGTACTTAACTGGAAATTGAAGTCTCATGGACTTTCCTTCCCTTGCTGATTTTGAACTGCAATCCCCAAATCTCAGCCTCCTAAATAGCTAGGATTATAGGCATGAGCTACTGGTGACCAGCCTGCCCCACTTTTTTTCTGCCAGTGCTGGAGTTCAAGCTCAGAGACTTTCTTGCACTCTTGCTCAGCTTTTTAAGTGAACAGCTGGTGAGGGAAAACCACTTGAGCCATACCTCCAGTTCTTGCTTTTTGCTAGTTAATTGAAGATAAGAATCTCACAGATTTGGGGCTGGAAAGGTGGCTCAGTGGTAGAGTGCTTGCCTTGCATTCCTGAGGCCCTGGGTTCCATTCCTCAGCACCACATAAGTAAAAAAAGAAAAAAGCCGGAAGTGGCGCTGTGGCTCAAGTGGTAGAGCGCTAGCTAGCCTTGAGCTGAACAGCTGAGGGACAGCGCCCAGGCCCAGAGTTCAGGCCCCATGACCGGACCCAAAAAAAAAAAAAATTAAAAAAAAAAAAGAATCTCACAGCTTTATCTGTTGGCTTTGAATCATGATTCTTAGATCTTAGGCTTCTGAGTAGCTAGGATCATAGGAGTAAGTAACTAAAATTTTAAACACTATTGATAATAGTTAAATAATAGTTAATTTCCTACTGCGAATGTCTAACCTGAAATAATCTAATTGAGAACTAGACTCTGAACAGAACCTCTTCTTTAAGGAGCAGTGTAGAAATTCAGAGGAGGAATAGTTCTCAGTGAGTCAGAGTAAAAATAATACTTGAATTATATCTTAGAATCTTAAGTATGCACATGAAGAGTAAGCTAGGCAGAATAATATGAACAGGTCTGATGAAATCACTTTGCTATTTTTAGATGTCTCTGGGTTTCTGTAGAGCATTCACTCCTTAGTTTGGCATTCTGAACCTCTTCTTTTCTCCTTCCTTCATCTATACATTTTTACTGTTATTTGGCATTGCTGTAATTCTTTTTGAAGTATACCTTTGGTGTCTATTTTGTGAACATTTGTTGGTATAGACTCTCATTGTTTTATCTGAAAGGTATTTTATTTTGCTTTCATTCTTTAAACTTTCTATTTCGTTCAGTTAAAGTATTTTTATTTTTATTTTTTATTGTGAAAATACCATACAGAGGGGTTAAAATTACATGGGTATTTTTATTTATTTATTTATTTTTATTTTATTTTTATTTATTTATTTATTTTTGGGTCCGGTCATGGGGCCTGAACTCTGGGCCTGGGTGCTGTCCCTCAGCTCTTCAACTCAAGGCTAGCACTCTACCATTTGAGGCACAGCGCCACTTCTGGCTTTTTTCTTTTTGCTTATGTGGTGCTGAGGAATTGAACCCAGGGCCTCATGCATGCAAGGCAAGCGCTCTACCACTGAGCCACCTTCCCAGCCTGGTATTTTTATTTTTTTGTGCTGGAGGATTGAGCCCACGGCTCATGCATGCTAACACTGAGGTACATTTCTAAACAAAATTAAATTAAAATATAATTATGGATTTTGAAAAATGTCCAAATATGTATTGCATTGTATTTTCACAAATGAACACTTCTCTGTGCTCCTTATTCAGATCAAGAATAGATCATTTCTAGTGCCCAGAAGTTTCCCTCTTGTCCCCTTCCTGTTACTTCTTGACATAGCTAATATCTATAATATATAATTAATATGTAAATTTATTTAATATATAAATTAATTTTTTAAAAAATTCTATGGGATAAAATAATACACTGATATTCTTTTTTTTTTTTGGGTCCAGTCGTGGGGCCTGAACTCTGGGCCTGGGTGCTGTCCCTCAGCTCTTCAGTTCAAGGCTAGTGCTCTACCACTTGAGCCACAGCGCCACTTCCGGCTTTTTTCTTTTTGCTTATGTGGTGCTGAGGAATCGAACTCAGGGCCTCAGGCATGCAAGGCAAGCGCTCTACCACTGAGCCAACTTCCCAGCCCTACACTGATATTCTTGTGTGTGGTTTATTTTGCTTTTCCAAACTGATGGTACCAATTTTTATAATCACCAGCTGTATTGAAGATTTTGACTTGCAGCTGGGTGTGGTATCAGATGCCTATAGAGGCAAGAATGTCATAAGTTCAGGATACCCTGAACTACCCACTGAGACTCTGTCTCAAAAACAAAACAACACAGAAACCCAAAATGTTTCATTTGTTTCATTTTCTCATTAACACTAGGCATTAGTAGGTTTTTTTTTTTGAAGTTGTATTCTGATGGATGTATAGTGATATTTCTTTGTGATTTTATTTTAATTCTCTACTGAATATATTCAACATAATTTCATTTGTTTAATAGCTACTTGATTATTTTTTGTGAGGTCCTAGTTCAGATTTCTTGCCTAATTTCTCTTGGGTGTTGTCTTTTTCTCACTGAGTTGTGAAAATTTTTCACATAGTGTATATGTAAACCATTTGCTAGCATATGGGATATCTTCTGTATCCAATGATTGCTCTTTAATTTTTCTTTTAAGATATCTTCCTTTATGACTAGTGCTTTTTATATCCTGTTCAAAAAAAATCTTCTGTGATATGGAGACATTCCTTTATAGTATCTTTTTTTTGTTCTTAATATATATTTTTTATTGTAATGATACTGTACAGAGGGGTTACAGTTACATAAGCAAGGTAATGAGTCCATTTCCTCTCGAGCATTGTTACTCCCTCCTTTATTTTTCCCCTACCACCCTTTCCTCCCCACTTTCCCAACCCCCCCACCCCTCCCCTACCTGCTCCCACCCCCTGCAAAGTTGTAAAGTTCGTTTTCAATGTATTGTCTTATACATCTCATTGTTACAATGGGTCATCCTGTATCCTTATTTTTGTTATTTTCCTTCCTCTCCCCAAATTAGAAAAATGTATATACAAGATGGAGGACACAAGAATCAAATACAGTAAAAACAGGGGTTGTACCATGGGGGAAAAACATACAAAGAAAAAAAAAATTTGTTGCTGTTCTTTTTCATGTACTTATAATGTACTATATTATCTTTTATTTAGTACTTTAGTATTACATTTAAATCTGCAGCTTACCTAGAACTTTTTCTTTGTGTAATACAAGAAGAAGTTAGTTTCATTCAGATATTCCTGGCCATTTTTTTTGGTCTTTGTTTCTCTAAACATACATAATTACTTTAAAACCATAAATAGAGCCGGGCACTGGTGGCTCACACCTGTAATCCTAGCTAGTCAGGAGGCTGAGATCTGAGGATCACGGTTCAAAGCCAGCCCGTGCAGGAAAGGCTGTGAGACTCTTATTGCCAATAAATCACTCAGAAAACCGGAAGTGGTGCTGTGGCTTAAGTGGTAGAGTGCTAGCCTTGAGCTGAAGAGTTGAGGGACAGCGCTCAGGACTAGAGTTCAAGCCCCACGACCAAAAAAAACAAATAAACAAACAAAAAACAACTTTACAGTACTATAATGCAAAGGTTCAGAATATAGCCTTGGTCCTAGACCACTTATATTCAAGTCTCTTTAAAAATTATTAATGTAGCATACTTTATTGAGCTCCTACCATCCTTGCTTTCATGTGGTAAGAAGAGAGATAGGTAGTCATGAAAGTAAGTGAGCCAAGTATATCTAATACCTCACAGGGATATCTGTATATCTGGATAGTGTAATGTAGCAAAGGGTAAAGAACTGAAGGAGTTCAAGGAGACTCATAGATGTCATGGGAGAAAAACACTTCAGGAAGAAGTAATGGCAGGAGTGTACCTAGTGTGTGTGAGTGTGGTTGGAATAGAAGTGGGAGGGTGAAGCGTAGGAGGAAATAGAAGCTGTTGAAGCATTTTGGCAGAAATAGAAACTGTTGAAGGATTTTGACTATAATTATGTTTAAGACAATCATTTTGACTACCATGTTTATAGTCCACTGCAGCGAGGATATATGTTGTTGGGGTGAGAAGGGTGGCAATACAGTAAGTAGGAAGAGCAGCCAGGTGTGGTGTGGTACAGTGTGGTGTGTATGGTCGTATGTGGTAGTGCATGTCTGTCATCCCAGCTTCTCTGTTGGAGGCTGCAGTGAGAGGATTGTGAATTTGAGGCCAGTGTTGGCTACACAGCATTGGCTAGCACATACAAGGCCCTGGGTTCAATCCCCAGTACAGTAAGTGAATAAATAGGGGGTGGAGTTAGGAGCCTGATTTATCCTGTTTTTTGGGGTTGAACTAATGGGATATAGTATTCAGGCAGCAGAGTAAGTAAAATAATTGGGTTTTTATGTATAATTTGAAAGAATTGATGGATTTGCTAGTGTATTAGATGGGAGGAGTGGCAGAAAGTATGTCAAGAATGTCCTCAAGATTTTTTTTCTTGAAAACATGGATTAGAAAAAGTTTCCACTAAGATACAGAATACTGTGTAAGAAAAATGTGTGTGAGGAGGATGAGGAATTTTTTTTTGATGTGCTAAGTTAGAAATCTGGAGACACATACAAGCACACATGGTGGATAAGCAGTGTGTCCTGAAGTTTTAGCAGATGGCTTTTAGTTGGGTTGGGACAGATGATCCATGATTGTGTGATCTTTGACAGCAGCTCAGCTCTGGGCACTAGGACTTCTTTCTCTTGATTTATTCTGGCTGCTTGAGCACTGCCTTGCTTCTCCACAGTCAATATTTGCATGTACATTGGGTTTATTCCAAAGAAATAAGAGGGGTAAAGACTTCATTAGTGGTTTTTTTTTTTTTGCCAGTCCTGGGGCTTGAACTTAGGGCTTGGGCACTGTCGCTGAGCTTGTTTTGCTCAAGGCTAGCACTCTACCACTTGACCTACAGTGCCACATCCGGCTTTTTCTGTGTATGTGGTACTGAGGAATTGAACCCAGGGCTTCATGCATAGTAGGTAAGCACCCTACCACTAAGCCACATTCGCAGGCCCTTCATTAGTTTTTGAAATTGTTGCTTCATAACAACTTTTTGTTGTAAAAGGTTTGGATTACTCAGTCTGAGCCAATATGCTTTTAGAATTCTTTTTTTTTTCTTTTTTTGTCAGTCATGGGGCTTGAACTCTGGGCCTAGGTGCTGTACCTGAGCTCTTCAGCTCAAGGCAAGTGCTCTACCACTTGAGCCACAGCACCACTTCTACCACTTCCCGGTTTTCTGAGTGAATTATTGGAGGTAAGAGTCTCATGGCCTTTCCTGTATAGGCTGGCTTTGAATTGTAATCTTCAGATCTCAGTCTCCTGAGTAGCTAGGATTACAGGGATGAGCCACCACCCCCAGCTAACTTTTAGAATTCTTTAAATTTGTTTGTTCATGTTGTTCTTATTTCATTAGTCCTTCAAAGTCTTAGAAATAACTTAAAAAATTATGTTCAGAGATCTATGCGTTGAGTTCAATGTGTATCTTATTCATTTCCATCCTCAGTCCCTCTTCCTGTCTTGTGCTCTGTGTGCTCTCATCATCCCATTTCAGGGCAAGGATCCAGGGGTAGGGTCTGATCCTAGTTTATTTTTCTATTCATCCTTGTCCTTCAAAATGGCTGCTGGAGGGCTTGTTTATGAGTTGCATTATTTCAATGAAAATTTCTTAGATTTCTTTGCCCATCCTTTGTACTCCTCAGCTGTCAATAATTTCCTCACTTGCTCTGTTTCCTTAAGGGATTTTTTTTTTTTTGCTTCAGGAACAGTATCAGAGTTGGGCCAACACAGGTTCTAGACCTGTGCAAAGGCATGGACAAAGACCTTCCCTTGGAAATGCAAGCAAAAATCAGGAGCACAGCTCCCATAGTTCTTTTTCCTTTAGCAATTTTGCAATTTCACTGTGTGATTCACTAATTCTGTTTCTATGACTGCTGTCAAACAAATATAACAGCTTGGGTATTAATGTAATAGTGTTTCCACAATGGTGTTTTCCACAAACATCCCAGATAGTGAATTTTAGATCTTTTTTTTTGGGTCCCGTCGTGGGGCCTGAACTCTGGGCCTGGGCACTGTCCCTCAGCTCTTCAGCTCAAGGCTAGCGCTCTACCACTTGAGCCACTTCCGGCTTTTTTCTTTTTGCCTATGTGGTACTTAGGAATCGAACCCAGGGCCTCATGCATGCAAGGCACGCGCTCTACCACTGAGCCACCTTCCCAGCCCGATTTTTTTTTTTTTGGGTCCGGTCATGGGGCCTGAACTCTGGGCCTGGGCACTGTCCCTCAGCTCTTCAGCTCAAGGCTAGCGCTCTATCACTTGAGCCACAGCGCCACTTCCGGCTTTTTTGTTTATGTGGTACTGAGGAATTGAACCCAGGGCCTCAGGCATGCAAGGCAAGCGCTCTACCACTGAGCCACCTTCCCAGCCCCCCAGCCCGATTTTTTTATATTCTGGTTTCTACATTAAAACCAGTTGTTGGAATGCATGAATTTATCCTATTTTTTTTTTTGGTTGGTCATGGGGTTTGAACTTTGGGCCTGAGCGCTGTCCCTCAGCTCTTCAGCTCAAGGCTTGTGCTCTACCACTTGAGCCACAGCACCACTTCAGTTTTCTGGTGGCTTGTTGGAGATAAGAGTCTCACAGATATTCCTGCCTGGGCTAGCTTTGAACTGCATTCCTCTTCTCTCAGCCTCCTGAGGGGCTAGGATTATGGGTGTGAGCCACTGGCGTGGGGCCTTATACCATTTCAACTTAAACTAAATAGTAGTTTTTCTATCACCATCTAAACTTAATGTAACAACTCGAATTTTCATTTTTGGTCCAGTGTGAATTCCATTGTCCTTTGCAAAAGGTCTCTCTATACTCATGGTAAGTACACCCATTCATCCATGTAGTTTAGTGTTCTCATATCTCTGGAAGACTGCCTGTCTAAGACATGGAGGCAGAGAGAATGCACAGTTCTCCTTTGGGGAAAAGTCCCTTTCATAGGGGCAAGGATAAGAATTATAGCTAATGTATTGTTTGTTTTTTCAAGTTATTTAAATTACAATTTTAAAATTAAATTTTTCTTTTGCCTTTTACCTATAGTTCACCTAACAGCCATGGAAGGCCACCTTCACTGTTTTAAATTCCTAGTCAGTAGAATGAGCAGTGAGAAACAAGCTTTAAAAGCCTTCAATGATAATGGAGAAAATGTATTGGACCTGGCCCAGAGATTCTTTAAACAGAACATTGTACAGTTTATCCAGGGGACTGAGAATGAAGGAAATAATGCAGAAGATCAGGAAAGTAAGTAATTAGCCTGAAATGTGATAATAATAATAATACAAATGAGTAGAATCGATGTACATAAGGCAACTTATAAGGCAGATATTACATTGACATTTATTATATATTATTATCCACACATTAATCCAGATTCTATTACGAACATTCTAGACAAATGTATATAAATATTAACTAAAGAGTGCTGTTTGTATCACAAAAGAATAAAAAAATTTTTTTTTGGGTCTGGTCATGGGGCCAGAACTCTGGGCCTGGGCGCTGTCCCTCAGCTCTTCAGCTCAAGGCTAACGCTCTACCACTTGAGCCACAGCGTCACTTCCGGCTTTTTTCTTTTTGCTTATGTGGTGCTGAGGAATGGAACCCAGGGCCTCAGGCATGCAAGGCAAGTGCTCTACCACTGAGCCACCTTCCTAGCCCATGAGAATAAAATATTTTGAAGTTGAAGTTGCCTATTTCTTTTCTTTTTCTTCATCCTGAAGATAAATTATCATTTACCTTGGATTTATTAGTTCATCCTATATTTATATCTTAGATATATGTATACACACATATATATTACACTATTTTAAAAAATATATACTATGTATATACATAGTATATAGACATATTCACAATAACATATAGCATTGTTTATTTGTATTTATTAGCAAGTCTAAGCTGTTGTTACAAATCCTAGAATACAATGGCTTAAAAGATACAGAAGTTTATTTCTTGTATTGGGAGCCCAGATTAAAGAGTGAATCTGTTTTGTTAGAGGTTTACCCCCTTCCATGTTCTTTCTGTGTTTGCTGAAATAGTGAATATTTTGATTCATAGGTTTAGCATTTCCAGGTCATGTGGCTGCCTTTAAGGGTGATTTAGCAATGCTGAAGAAATTACTAGAAGATGGAGTGATCAATTTTAATGAGCGTGATGATAATGGATCAACTCCAATGCATAAAGGTGAGTTATTGTAGTCTTAATTGATTTTGAGTTCAGATACAGTAGCTGCTGAATTCACTTTTTTTTTTTTTTTGTCGGTCATGGGGCTTGAACTCTGGGCTTGGGCGCTATCCCTCAGCTCTTCAGCTCAAGGCTAGCATTCTACCACTAGAGCCACAGCACCACTTTTTTCTGGCGGTTTATTGTAGATAAGGGTCTCATGGACTTTCCTGCCTGAGCTGACCTTGATTGAACCACAGTCCTCAGATCCCAGCCTCCTGAGTAGCTAGGGTTATAGGCGTGAGCCACCAGGGCCCAGCTGGAATTAACTTTTAAAGTAACTATTTCATCAAAAACATGCCCTTGTGGATGTCAGTCTACATTATATGGTAAACAGATGACTAATTCCAGTTCATTGTCACATGCCTTTTGTGATGCTAGCCAGCTAGACACTGATGGTCACATTTGAAGTAATGTCAATAAGATTTCTTTTGTGTCATTGTTATGTTAGGGAAGATGTAAAAATGTCCTTGTAGAATTTTTTTTGTTTTTTTTTTTTGGGGGGGTCTAGTCATGGGGCCTGAACTCTGGGCCTGGGCGCTGTCCCTCAGCTCTTCAGCTCTAGGCTAGCGCTCTACCACTTGAGCCACAGCACCATTCTGGCTTTTTTTTCTTTTTGCTTATGTGGTGCTGAGGAATCGAACCCAGGGCCTCAGGCATGCAAGGTAAGCGCTCTACCACTGAGCCACCTTCCCAGCTCCCCCTTGTAGAAATTTTTTTTTTGTTGGTTTTTTTCCTGGTGGTTAATTGGAGATGAGAGTCTCATGGACTTTCCTGCCTGGGCTGGCTTTGAACCACAATCATCATATCTCAGCCTCCTTAGTAGCTAGGATTACAGGCGTGAGCCACCACTGCCTGGATGGGAAACATTTTTTAGATCATGTATTAGCTGGGTATAGTGGTACAAGTCTGTAATCCCAGCATTTAAGAATCTAAGCCCAGGAGGATTATGAGCTCAAAATCAGCTCTGACTGCAGAGCAAGACCTTTTCTCACGATAGCAAAAAACTGGTTGGCTTATACTAAAATATTTGTTTTTTGAAATCATTTTTTAAAAAGTTATAACAATTTTCTTTTTTCTTGTTATTATAAAAGTGATAAACAGAGTAGTTAGAGTTGAAAAGCTAGGTAATGAGTATATTTCTTTTAGATAATGGCTACTCCTTCCCTTACTTCCCGCTTTTCCTTCCTATCTTCATCCATAAGTTGTATAGTTCATTTTCAGCATGATGTCTAGTGAGTACCACTAATGAGACTCATATCTCAGAATTTTCTTCTTTAACTCTCATGATTTTTCACAGAAATATCTATGAATATTATTAGATTTGAGTAAATTTTATTTATTTTTATTTTTATTTTTTTGAGGTCCCGTCATGGGGCTTGAACTCTGGGCCTGGGCACTGTCTCTCAGCTCTCAGCTCAAGGCTAGCACTCTGCCACTTGAGCCACAGCACCACTTCCGGCTTTTTTTCTTTTTGCTTATGTGGTGCTGAGGAATCAAACCCAGAGCCTCAGGCATGCAAGGCAAGCGCTCTACCACTGAGCCACCTTCCCAACCCCTGAGTAAGTTTTAAAGATACCTGACACTGTTCTCTCCTTCCCTCCATGTAGAATTCTGTAATACATATTTGTAATAAATATGACTTGTAATGAATATTTAAGGTCAGGAAAGTTTTAAAGTGGGCTATTTCTTTGTTAGTTGGTTCTGAGTAGGAGAACCAGAGGAGTAAAAGTGAGCCAGACATGACATGAGTGAAGGGTGGGGGAGAAGTTAAGTAGGGAGAGAGGTGAAGGTAGGGAAAGGAATGGGAGGAAGGGGAGAGACAGAAGATACAGAGTCAAGTCAGTCAGAGAAAGACAAAACAAGAGTTTTTATTGACATTTTCCAGTGTAGCTTTGGGTTTGTCATTGAATATGGCTCAATTAGTATTGTAAGTGAGTTGACTTAATTAACCAGTTAATTAATTAATTTAGTATCATCTTGGAGCTTGAATTTAGGGCATGGGTGCTGTGCCTAAATTTGTTGCTGAAGGCTAGTGCTCTACCACTTGATCTATGTAGCTCCATGGTCTATTTCCATTGTGTGTGTGTGTGCTGTTAATTGGAGATATGAGTCTCGTGGACCTTCCTGTCTGGGCTGGCTTCAAACCATGACCCTAAGATCCCAGCCCCTGAATAGCTAAGTTTATAGGTGTAATAAGCCACAGGTGCGTGGCAGAAGTGAGCTCACTTTTATGACATCAAATTCATAACATTGTTTCAAACTTTTTTTGTCTATAGAGCTTATTAAGAGTGTTCTCCTGGCCTCAAAGTAAATTGTGACTTCTTCCTCTCCATTTAAGTTAAAATTTTTTGATACATTTTGCAAATTAGTGTTTTTTTGTTTTGCTAGTCCTGGGGCATAATAAACTCAGGGCTTAGGTGCTATCCCTGAGCTGCTTTTGTTCAAGTCTAGTGCTACCACTTGGGCCACAGCTCTACTTCCAGCTTTTTTTGTTTTTTTTAGATATGAGTCTCATGGATTTTCTTGTCCAGATTGGAGTCAAACCTCAATCCTCAGCTCTCAGCCTCTTTGAGTAGCTATTACAGGCACATGTGTGATTTTTTTTTTAACATCACCATAGTGCTTGCTTGCATTATGGAGACATAATGAGATCTACGTCTATTAGACTTTTTTTTTAATCGGTTATGGGGCTTGAACTCTGGGCCTGGCCACTGTTCCTGAGCTCTTAAGTTCAAGGCAAGTGCTCTACCACTTGAGCCACAGCATGACTTCCGAGATTTACATCTATTAATGAACTATATACTTCTAACTATGAGTCAAATTGTAATTAATGGCAAAAATTTGATTATTAAAATACATGTGAGGGACAAAAGTTACTGAGGATCAAATTATTGAAGTGTTCATGGGGCTTTAGTAATAAAACTTTATGTTTATATGACACTCAACAGGGCTTTATCACATGTAATTTTCATTGCAATTAGAGTTCACTTAATAGTGCTGTCCAAAATTTATAAAATTGTTACTAGTAACAACACTTTTTTGTATTTCTTGTTTTCCTTTTTTTAAACAGCTGCTGGACAGGGCCACATAGAGTGTTTGCAGTGGCTAATTAAAATGGGAGCAGACAGTAATATTACTAACAAAGCAGGAGAGAGACCCAGTGATGTGGCCAAGAGGTATAGATTCCTTTATGTTTTGCTCCTTTCTTTTGATTTTAAAGTTCTGCATGTGCTCTTACATACTTAGAAATTTCCAAGAATTTAGTGGAATTTTAGGACTTAATCTAATGCTGATGGAATCACCATTTTAAAACTGAATTTGACATTTGGTTTTGTATCAGCTCTTCTCTAGAAAGCAGCACTTATCAACTGTTAGGAAGGATTATTTAAAAATGAAGGGAAAGATTGTCACATTGACCACATAATATTTAAGGAGGTCAGGATCAGGAATGCTAAACATTCTGCAGTGATTAGAATAATGGTTTATAATGAATTATTCCAACCAAAATTAAATGTAATGCTCTGTGAAGATAAAAAAGAGTAACCCAATAGTGATAACAGAAAAAAAAGTCACAAGAGTTTTGAAACATATTTAGGGATTTGCGTTTGGATTTAATGTAGTACGTGTTAACCAATAACACCAGTCCATTGAGGTCAGGTTCTCAAAGAATATTTAATCCACATTTATTTGTCCATTTGATGGTTCTTCCATTCAACTTCCTGTCTACTTACCATGGGTTACTATGGTTTAGGTTACCATGGTTAGAAATCAGATTACAAAGATGAGAAAAACAGTCTTCTGCCATTAAGGAGTCATGTAATAGCCATTTTGACTGGAATGAGATAGAATCTCAGTATAGTTTGGATTTGCATTTTCCTGATGGCAAAAATTCTTGAAGCTTTTCATGTATTAATTGTCCAGTTGTAACAATTTGAAACAATTTCAGTTTGTAAGCCCATTTTTAAATTGAATTATTTGCTCTTTTTTTGTGGTACTGCAGTTTGAACTCAGAGCCTCATACCTGCTAGGCAAGTAGGGACTCTGTTGCATAGCCACACCCACAGCCTGTTTTTGCATTGGTTATTTTTATTTTTTTTTACTGAGATCAAGTGATTACATAAATTACACTAATTTCATAGTATTGTGGGATAGTGATACTTAAAGTCACAAACACATTTTAACCTTCACAAGGTGTATTGTCATTATCATGGTCTATAAAGCTTATGGACACTACAAACTTTGACACTGCAGCTGTTTTTCCCAAATCAGGTAATATGTACATTTCTTTCATTTTGCTTAGTGTAAGCTGTTCTCTCTTTCTCTCTCATTTCCTCCCTCCCATTGCCCTTGAGTTGCTTAGTTCACTTTCATCAATGTCCAATGTAGCTGATGGCCCCTCTGTTGTATCCTCCCCGCCTCCCCACCCCCCGTTTCCCTCTGATTCTGTGCCTTCCTCCTAGCTTTCCTCAGATGTGTACATGTACATATCATATGTGAGGTCAAAAACATGGAATTATTTGAAATGGTACAACAAATTAAGAAGAGGTCCTTTGTTTCTTTAGTCCTGTTTACTTTGTCATATCTCCTTGCATTCTGAGTTTAACATTGCATTGGTTATTTTTGAGACAGTGTTTTGCTTCCTTCCTGGGGTGTAAGATGTATGCCTGGACCATAATCCTACTTCTCACATCCCATCATAGTTGGTTACTACTTCCAACTTCTCGTGATGTGAAGTCTCACAGACTTTTTTTCTTCATAGGTTGACCTGGAACCTCAGTCTCTGTTTCAACCTCCTACATAGCTAGGATGATAGGAGTGAGCTACAACACATTTCTCATATGGGAAGGGGTCTTTGTGAACTTTTCTGCTGGATTAGCTTCAAATTGCAGTCCTCATCTCAGGCTCTCATGTAGCTAGGATTATAGGTATGAGCTACTGGTACCTGGAGTAGGTAGGTAAAAATGAATAATAAAGTCTTAATGATAAAGAAAAGAGGGAGAATAGGGAAAGGAAAAGAGAAAAGCAAGATAGAAAAAAGAAGAAAAGTATATGGCATGTAGATTTGAGAAATAATATTGAAGAAAACAAAGCAAATACAAACCAAACAACAACAAACCAGACTAATCAATAGCTCTTTCTTGCTGAGGAGAGGTGGTAGAGTTATGTGGATTTTCCTCCAGCTTTCTCATTTTGAGGGTTTCAAGTGTGTCTCCATTTCTACCAAATGTCTCTGGAGCTCTGAGAGTGGAGAAGGGATCAAAGCACTCTATTCTGGGGGCAGGGTATGAGGTATGGCTACTAAGTGATCTTAACCACACCTTTTTCTGCCCCAGCATATATCCACATACACCTGGTCTCTCATCTTCCCAAATGGAATTTCCAAATGCAAGTACTCTTTACCTCCTTTGCCCCTCAGCCTGCAATGGCTACCATGTAGTTACAAGTCTTTGAGCCTGCATGTAAGTTACAACCAGTATTTTGGAGACCCACACTGACTCTTGCTTTTTAGCTAGTAAAGGGGAGAGGAAGTTGGGACTTGAAAATATAAAAATGCTATCCCATCCCTGCTCTCCATAAGATTTGATGGTAAGACTCTACTTTAAAATGATTACTCACCACAGCACCTGTAAGCAAGCTAGGCATTGCAGGGAACCCTTTTCCAGTCTTGTTTCCAGTCCTGTGGACAAGATCTTTTGTCTTTATCGTATGTTTGTGCCTATGGAGCTCACTGAGACATTTTTTGGCTTAACATTAGGCATTGTGTTGCAGAGTGCCCAATATTAGTGTTCTTTTTTTTCTTTCCAAATCTAAAGTCTAATATTTATGGATTTCAGCTGTTTCTTCAGTCTACTGTAAAAAATGTGCTCCAGTGCCTTCCTATACCATTCCACTTCTCCCTATATCCTCACGCCTGATATTTTTATTTCAAGATGCAGAAATGTGCTCTGGATACTTATAATCCAATGTCTTTCTTTGTTCTCTTCCTTTCTCAACTATATAATGTTCTTCATAAGTTTTGTTTGTTTGTTTCTTTTTTTTGTTGTTGTTGGTGTGGGGCTTGAATTCTGGGTGCTATCCCAGAGCTCTTCAGCTCAAGATGATGCTCTACCACTTGAGCCACCATGCACTTCTGGTTTTCTGGTGGTTAATTGGAGATAAGAGCCTCACGGACTTTCCTGCCTGGGCTGGCTTTGAACCTCAATCCTCAGATCTCAGCCTCCTGAGTAACTACATAAATTTCTTAATGAATTTTGTTTGCACAGTGTTGGGAATGCAACCCAGGAATTCAGGGATACTAGGTAAACACTCTAAGCAACTAACCTTTATTACTTTATTTATAATAGATATAATAGATAAATCTAGATATATGTATTATAAATAATATAGATATAAGATATATATAATAGATAAGGATGTGTTAAGTGTGTGATTATATAGTTATGAGGAAAATATTTTTTGTTTATAATTATGTCCCAAGACAGTATTAAATATGCTACATAGCAAAATTGTTGAAAAAAGTTTCATGTAATCATAACAACAAACCTCTTAAACCAAGAATTTATTATTGGAAGGTTCAGAGATATGAGAAAGAAAGAACAAAGAGAATAGAAGATATGGACTAGACAAACCATTACTTTTTCCTTAAATTTCAAACTCTTGCCAAATGCTTTGGGTTGAATGAGGGATGAAGATTAAAATTCAATTACATTCTATAAAATTATGAAAATTAAGAGAAGGGGGTGGGTTTGGGGAAGGGATAGGGAGAATAATGAAAAGAGTGATATTGATCAAGAGTCATTGTATTCATATAGTAAGTACTTTGATGAATGGCAACTCCTTTGTACACTTAAAGGTTAAAATAAAATAAAGAGGTTAGATCTATAGTTGGCTCTAAAACTGGAACCAGAGCTAAATATACCATCTGAACTGGGCCAACCTAAGGCAGTAAATATACAGAATAAAGTAGGGTAGTTCTGATCCTCAAATCAAGTGAGTAGTGCTATTTGGTGTACACCAACATTCATTTGATAGTGCCTCTCCACTTCCAGTGGATTGTGTGTGTGTGTGTGCATTCAAATGTGCATACTTGCTTGTGTATGCCAGTACTGGGTCTTGAATTCAAGGCTTTGAGATCTTGCTTAGATTTTTAAAAAAAATTGCAGCTAGCACTCTTCCACTTAAGCGATGTCTCCAGTTCTATTTTTTTGCTAATTGGAGAATCTTAACGAGCCAGGTGCCAGTGGCTTATGCCTGTAATCCTATCTACTTAGGAGGCTGAGATCTGAGGATTTCTTCAAAGCCAGCCCCAGCAGGAAAGTCTGTGAGATTCTTAATCTCCAGTTAACCACCAAAAAGCCAAAAATGGATTACTGGCTCAAGTGACTGCTATCCTTGAGCAAAAATACTCAGGGACAGCACCCAGGTCCTGAGTTCAGGTCCCAGGACTGGCACCAAAAAACGAGTTGCAAGGGTTTGTCTGCCTGGGCTACCTTTGAACCTTGATTCTCAGATTTCAATCTCCTGAGTAACTAGGATTATATATGTGAGCCACTGGCACCTGGCTTCCAGTGGATTTTATCAGTAAAAATTAGGGAATCAGTTTTTCATATAAATACTAGTTAGTCAATACTCAGTCAAGTAACTGAGTTTCCTATATAATAAATATATGTCATATGTCACATTGATACTGACCTTCAGGTAGATTTGTTCCTTGGCTGTGAGATGAGTTGATGGAAGAACCTACAGAGTGGAATTGCCTAAGTGTAAACTGCAGTTTTAATATGAAGAAGATGGTGAATCTGGCTAACTGTTGATTCCTTTCTACAGATTTGCTCATTTGGCAGCAGTGAAGCTATTAGAGGGATTACAGAAATATGACATCAATGATCTGAATGAAATTGATGACAATGATATGAAATTTTTTATAAGGCATGGTGTTGAGGGAAGCACTGATGCCAAGGATGACTTAAGTCTGAGTGAATCTGAAAAAACAGATGCCAGAAGTAAGTATGTAATCTTTGTTGTGATTTATCTTCTCAGAAATAATATAGCTACTTTTTTTTTTTTTTGTCAGTCATGGGGCTTGAACTCTGGGCTTGGGCACTGTCCCTCTCTTCAGCTCAAGGTGAGCACTCTACCACTTGAGCCACAGTGCCACTTCCAGTTTTCTGGTGGTTAATTGTAGATAAGAGTTTTATGGACTTTATTTGCCCGGGTTGGCTTTGAACTGAGATTCTCATATCTTGACCTGCTGAGTAGCTGCGATTACAGGCATGAGCCACTGACGCCTGGCCAACATTACTACTTTTAACTACAAGTTTGGAAAGTACTGTAAGGCAAATAATGTCTGAAAATTATATATGTATAATATATAAAATTAGTTTATATGTACTATACATGCTAATATATGTATGTATTGGTATGTGTTTTTTTCAATTTTGCTATATTACACTTAAAATTTTTATTTTTCTTTTTTATATATCTTCCTTTTATTGTAAAGATGCTGTACAGAGGGGTTACAGTTACATGAATAAGGTAGTGAGTACATTTCTTGTCGAACATTGATACCTACTCCTTTGTTTTTCTCCCATTATCCCTTCCTTCCCCACTCATTCTTTGTCCTTGTTTCAGCATTTTGTTATTACCCTTTCCTTCCCCAAGTTAGATAAATGTATATATAAGACTCAGAGTACCAGAATCAAAGACAGTGATTGCCAGGGATAACCAATGGAAAAAGAAAAATGAAATAAAATGAAAAGAAGTAGGGCTGGGAAGGTGGCTCAATGGCAGAGCACTTGCCTTGCATGCCTGAGGCCCTGGGTTCAATTCCTCAGTACCACATAAGCAAAAAGAAAAAAGCCGGAAGTGGTGCTGTGGCTCAAGTGGTAGAGCGCTAGACTTGAGCTGAAGAGCTGAGGGATAGTGCCCAGGCCCAGAGTTCAGGCTCCACGACCGGACCCCCTCCCCCAAAAAAATAAATAAATAAAAGAAGTAAGCAGATACAGTACATTGGCAAGAATAAAGTTAACAACCAAAAAAAGGCCTGTTGTTTCCGTGTCTTGTTCATTACAATTAGCATCATTTTGTATGGTCATATGTACATAGCTATTGAGCTATTGTGATTCTCTGCCAGACTATCCTAGACATATACTAATAATGATAATGGCCAATCCAACTGGGGTGAGGTGGAATCTCAATGTTGTTTTGATTTGCATTTCTTTTATGGCCAGTGATGTTGAACTATTGTGTCTATTGGCCATTCTTATTTCCTCTCCAGAGAAGTCTCTTTTTAATTCTTTAGCCCCCTTATTAAGGGGATGGTTTTTTTTTTTTTTGCATTTGTTATTGGGGTATTATTTTTTTTTGAGCTCTAGGTATATTTTTGATATGAGACCCTTGTCTGTTGTATAGATAGTGAAGATCTTGTCCGAGTCTGTGGGCTTTCTATTTATCTTGCTAGCTATGTTCTTTGCACTGCAACTTAATGTGATCCCATTTACCCAGGCTTTCTTTGAGTTTTTTTTGTGTTTCTGGATCTTTATTTAGGAAGTTTTGATCTTTGCTGAGGAGCCCTAGCATATCCCCTATCCATTCCTGTAATATTTTAGGGTTTCTGCTTTCCCTTGAGTTCTTTGATCCATTTGGAGCTGATTCTGGTGCAGGGTGATATATAAGAATCTAACTTCAATTTTCTACATGTGTATAGCCAATACTGCTAGTACCATGTGTCTTGAAGAGGCTGTCTTTCTTCCATCTGATAATTTTGGCTCCCTTATCAAAGATTAGGTGGCCAAAGGTCTGTGGGATCATGTCTGGGTTTTCAACTCTATTCCATTGGTCCTCAGGCTTCTTCCTGTGCCAGTACCAAGCTGTTTTTGTAACTACAGCTTTATAATAGAGTTTGAAGTGTGGTATTGATATCTGTACAGCATTGTTCCTCCTGATGAGGATTGTTTTTGCTGTTTGGGGCCTTCTATTGTTCCATATGAATTTTTGGATTGCTTCTTCTATTTCTTTCTTTTTTTTTTTTTTTTTGCTTCTTCTATTTCATTAAAGAATGTTCTGTGATATTGATATATATTACATTGAATTTGAGATAGTTTTGGAAAAGGATTGCCATTTTCACGGTGTTAATTCTTCCAATCCAGGAACATGGGAGATTTTTTTCCACTTCCTATATCTGCTTTAATTTCCTATTCTATTTTATTTTATTTTTTGTCAGTTGTGGGGCTTGAACTCTGGGCCTTGGCACTGTCCCTCTTCAGCTCAAGGCTACCACTCTACCACCTGAGCCACAGTGCCACTTCGGTTTTCTGAGTGGTTTATTGGAGATAAGAGTCTCGTGGACTTTCCTTCCCAGGCTGGCTTTGAACCACAATCCTCAGATCTCAGTCTCCTGAATAGCTAGGATTACAGGTGTGAGCTACAGGCGCCCAGCAGTTTTTAAAGTTTTCATCATTAGAGATCCTTGACCTCGGGCTGGGATGTAGCTCAGTGGCAAAGCGCTTGCCTAGCAAGTGCAACGTCCTGGGTTCAATCCCCAGTACCAAAAAAAAAAAAAAAAGAAGTCCTTGACCTGTTTGGTTAAGTTTTTTCGTAGGTATTTTATTTTATTTTATTTTTTATTGTGAAAATACCATACAAAGGGGTTACAATTACATGGACAAGATAATGAGTACATTTCTTATCAAGCAAGCATTTTTGCCTCCTCCTTTGTTTCCCCTTCCCATCCCTTCCCATCTTCCCTCCTCCCCCCCCCCCCCCCCCGCACCCCTGCACCCCCCTCAGGTATTTTATTTTTTTAGAGGCTATTACAAAAGGAGTGGCTTTCCTGGTGCTGGTGGCTCACACCTGTAATCCTAGTTATTCAGGAAGCTGAGATCTGAGGATCACAGTTCAAAGCCAGCCCTGGCAACAAAGTCCATGAGACTCTTATCTTCAATAAACCACTCAGAAAACCTGGAAATGGCACTGTGGCTCAAGTGGTAGGGCACTAGCCTTGAGCTGAAGAGCTGAGGGACAGCGCCCAGGCCCAGAGTTCAAGCCCCATGACTAAAAAAAAAAAAAAGGATTTGCTTTTTGATTTCAGCCTCACTTTTCTTATTGTTGACATGCAGAAAAGCTACTGATTTTTTTGTATGTGTTTTGACAGCAAGAATCAATTATAAATTTTTGTGTTGGGATTGTTGAAAATATAAAGTGAAAATATTAACTGTCAGGCACAGTCTCAAGAAGTAGAAGTTACTAAGACAAATTTTTTTTAATGCATCATATGAAACAGGGAAAAAGAACTCAAGAGATGGGCATGATGGTATATACCTGTAAGCACAGCTTAGGAGACTGCGGCAGGAGGACGACAAGTTTGAGGCTGACTTGTACTCCATAGGAATCAAACTAAACCAACTTGGTTGGTATTTTTGTTTTTGGTGTACTAGGAGTTACTAGACAAGTGCTTTACCTCATGAGCCATGTCCCAGTGCTTTTGCCTTCCTTTCTTTTCCAAATATAAGATCAAGATTATTCCTCCAAATGTGATCCTCCCAGTTTTGAGCGTGAGTAGCTAGGATTATAGGTATGAGGCCCTGGTACCAGGCTATAAACAATTTTTTACAGCTAATAATAGCAACAAATAATTATTGTGTAGTGTTTTCCAGACATTTGTAGTTAGGAGAAACTGAGCAGCACATAGGAACAAACTTACATGCTGGTGGTGATGGGAGGGTGATAAATAATTGATAAGATATATGTGTTAAGAAGATGAGGTAGAGCTGGGTGCTTGTGACTCACGCCTGTAATCCTAGTTACTCAGGAGGCTGAGATCTGAGGATCCCGATTCAAAGCCAGCCTGGGCAGAAAAGTCCATGAGATTCTTATCTCCAATTAACCACCAGAAAACCAGAAGTGGTGCTGTGGCTCAAGTGGTACAGCACTAGCCTTGAGCTAATGGACAGCTGAGGGACAGCACCCAGGAGGAGGAGGAGGAGAGGGAGGAGGGGAAGGAAGGGAGAGGTGTAAGGGGAGGAAGAGAAAGAAGAAAAGAAGTCCTCCTATGTAGACATACACAGAGACATAGGCATATAAATATGATCAGGTTGACTTAAGTATAATATATTCAAGATTGAAAAATCCATGGCGTAATTCCTTTGACCAATTAACTCTTTAACAAACAATATCAGAAAGCTGAAACAAAGTTTGAATGGGGGAAGCTATCGGGAGGGGGATGAATGGACAAGGAAATGGGGACAAACACAATCTTGGTACATATGTGATAACAGAAGTGGAAAAGGTAACATGAATCCAGGGGGAGAGGGTAGAAGGGGATGGGAGAGAATGATGGAAGGGGTGCCTGACACATAAAAGGACATACTAAATGTAATCCCCTGTACAACCACCCAATTTTTTTTTTTAAAGAATAGTTACTGTTACAAGAAAAAAAACTGTTGGTGAAGATGTGACAAAAAAAGAAAAATAATGTAGCATTAATAGGTAACTCTGAGGTGATATTTGTGAACAGACCTGAATGATGAGAATAAACCGTATGAAGGTCTTGAGAGACCATTCCAAGTAGAGAGTGCAATTTATGTAAAAGCTATGAGTGGAGTTGAGCATGGTCATTGTGTCTGCAGAAGAATGACCAAGGGAGTAGTAATAGATAAGGTTACAGAGGAAAGGAGGGGCCCTGTAAGATTATAGGAGGCCAATAAAGATTTTTAGATCAAGGTTTTATTTATTTATTTTGCCAGTCCTGAGGCTTGAACTCTGGGCCTAGGTGCTGTCCTTGAGCTCCTTTTGCTCAAGGGTAGCACTGTCTTCCACTTGAGCCACAGCACCATTTACAGCTTTCTGTGTGATTTATTTGGAGTTAAGAATCTCACAGACTTCCCTGTCAGTGCTGACTACAACCATAATCCTCAGATCTCAGCCTCCTGAGTATCTAGGATTATATGCAGGATGAGGCTTTATTTTTAAATAGAAAGCCATAGGTAGTAGAGAATGGTATGATTTGCTTGATGTTTAAAAATTAGATCTCTGTAGCTTCTAGGTAAAGAGTAGCCCTGAGGGCGGGGAAGAACAAGACATTTCTGATTGGTTATCAATTAGTTGAGAACATACTCAATCACGAGTATGGATGAAATTCCTGGTATGATACTTGAGTTCTACAAGAGCAGATGCATAATTGTCTGCACGAGTTTCCTGAGCTCCTAGAATCTCTGACATAGGCATATGATTAACTGTGAAATACTGGTAAACCTCCATTCTTGTTTTGCTTTAACTTTTTTGTAGTGGAAACTTGCATTGTCATTTTAGGAGTGCTTATATGTACAGTCTATGCATTTCTTTTTTTTTTTTTCCTTTTTTTTTGGTTCGGTCGTGGGGTTTCAACTCTGGGCTTGGGCTTTGTCCCTCAGCTCTTCAGCTCAAGGCGAGCACTCTACCACTTGAGCCACAGTGCCACTTGTAGTTTTCTGGTGGTTAATTGGAGATAAAAATCTCATGGATTTTCCTGCACCACTGGCTTTGAACTGTGATCCTCAGATCACAGTAGCTGAGTAGCTAGGATTACAGCCACCTGCACCCTGCTATGCATTTCTTTTTTAAGGTAAAATTTTTATATATTTTCTGGTTCTTTAGCTGATCCAGATTGGTAAGATCATGTCTTATCTGGAAATTGGAGGAAATCCAAGCCAGGATCCCATTAGCCTTGACTGTGCATCCGTTATTTCCAGTGGTGTGGAAAGTCCATTTCCCTTCGTACGGAGAGAATGGAAGTTTTCGTTTTCACAGTTTTTCTTTCATATTAACCATATTATGTCTCCATATATGGAAACATATATGCCAAAGTTTCTATTTTCATGATTATCCCAGTTAGGATAACTTCAATATACTTACCTTTGTCTTTGTGTGTCTACTTAAGTGTGTCTTTGTCTTTGATGCCTAAAGAATAGATATTTATTTGCTTACAGTTTGTGAAGTCCCAGGTCAGAATCCAGCAGGATTGTTTTCAGGTGAAAGCTCTCTCTCTCCCTTTGATATGGCCACAGATGGGGAGAGGGGAGTTAGAGGAAGTAGTGACAGGAAGAAAGGGAAGGAGAGAAAGATGACGGGGTGTGGGGGGGTGGAAGGGTGTTGAGGGAAAGAGATGCTTTCCAGTGTCTTTTCTTTAAATATGGCACTAATCCCATGGGGAGTAGGACCCTAGCCTCTTGTCATCTAATGTTAATCAACTTTCAATGATCTTATCGCCACATAATGTTACATTGGTGGTTTGGGCTTCAGCATATGAATTTTGGGAGAAAGACATTCAGCCTATAACAAATAGATTGTCATTTATTCTAAATTAGCTAGTAGGTAAAGGTGGGGTACATTTTTTTCTCAAGGGGTCATGTTATCAGACTGACAGAAATGGGGATCCAGAAGTCAGCAGGACAATGTTATGTTCATTATTGAAATATATGAATTAAATAAAAGTCTAGGAATTATAGCAAATATTAATTTCTCTAGCTTTTCTGCTGATGATTCAGCTGCTGATAAAATGCTTTCCTTCTAGTGAATTCTTTTTTCTATGTATATTGTATATATGTATATTGTATATTTATGAATTTTAACAAACACACAATCTAGAATATAATACAGAGAAGTTCCACTACCAAAACCCTCTGAATTTATTCTTCAAGATCCTAACAGTAATGGTTTACACTTCTGTATTATTTGCAATTTAGAGAATCCTTTTATCATCTTTGGTTTATATCTCAAGAAATACTCATTTACTGTAAATCATTATTTGATAAATAAAGAGCCTGAGATTCAGAGAAGCTGTTTTGTTTAAAGTCATACAGTGACTTAGAGGCAAGGCTTTTAGATTTCCTTCTATAGTGCCTGTGTACCAGACATGGAGTGTTTTAAAATGCTACATACTTTAGTTTCAGTTCCCATGGTATTTGTTCAGAAAGCTATAATGGTTTGTACTAATGGATGAGAAGATCTATTTCTGTGGCTCTCTTCATAGAAGAAACATAAAAAGAATCTGGGAACTGAGAGACAGGCAGTGTAAGTGAGGGGAATATGGGCCATGGACTCAGACGTCAGAGCTTCGCCACTTCCTACTATGTTACTCTCAACCTCAGGTAGTTGATCTATGAAAATGAGCATATTAATATCATATTGCCCTGATGGAACTGTTATAATAATTAAAGAAAGGGTAGTGCCTAGTATCTGGTAGAGGGTCAGAAATTTCAGTTGTCTTTTCTGGCAGGAAGACTTAGTTATACTAGAATTTCATTTTCTAAGAAAACAATTGAATTTATGTCTAGGTTTCTTGCTTATTTTTTCTCCCAGAAAGTATTAAGGAATTCTTAGAACTTTTGTCAGGTAGAAACTCATTCTCCAGGGAGAAGAGCTCTATTGAATATAACCAAGGGAGAATTGGAATTGGGAGATGCCAACATTAGTTTTTTCAAATTTCTAACATAAAGTAGATTGTCTATAGTTCTGTAATATACTTGTAGGCCTTGTCAGTTTTTGTGAACCTTTTTGTCTATGAAGTTAACAACTGTCATCATAATCTACTCCAGAGCCTGCTTTTGCAGAGGAAGAATCCTCCATCTTGGCATTTCATTGCTTGCACATCTGAAACTCTGTCACTGCTATTTACTCTTCAGTGTCTGTCAGTGTGTGGGCTCCCCTCCTTTAAACCCCACTCAAACCATATGGTGGCTCTACAAGAAAGTGAGAAGACCAACACGCTGTGGGTAACAAGAGCTGTTCTCTAAATTGTGTTTTTATTCAATTCTGTCTTATAGTGAGAGCTTATAAGAAAATCGTAGAGTTGAGACACCTCCTGGAAATTGCTGAGAGCAACTATAGACATTTGGGTGGAATAACAGAAGAGGATCTCAAGCAGAAGAAAGAACAGCTTGAGTCTGAAAAGTAATATCCTTAAAACTCATGGTTTATATTTTTGTTCCTATCAAAAAACCATGTAGATCAGAAACTTGTTCTTTTATGCCAACAAAAGTTCTATCCTGTTTTTCCATTTAAATCCTCAAGATGGAGTTAAGATTTTTAAAGTTATGATAAAAATGCCCCCAAATGTAAAATACCACTTTTTAGTGTACATCCCAGTAGTATTACATGTAATCACATTGCTGTACAAAAATCTCCCAAACTGTCATTCTTTAAGACCATGGCCTGTGTGTGTGTGCGGACGTGCGTGCATGTGTGTGCACACATGAGCATGTATGTGTGCATGTACCAGTATTGGGGCTTGAACTCAGGGTCTCATGTATACCTTTGGCTTTCTTGCTCATGGCTGATATACTACCTCTACCACTTGACCTTTCCCTATAGCCCAGCATTTTGCTGGTTAATTGGAGATGGAGTCTTACAGATTTCTTTCTTTTTTTAAATTTTTATTTATTTTTTATTGTGAAAATACTGTACAGAAGGGTTACAATTAGATGGGCAAGATAATGAGTACATTGGATTTCTCTACCTGGGCTGGCTTTGAACTGTTATCTTTCAGGTCTCAGCCTCCTAAATAGTGAGGATTACAGTCATAAACTAGTAGCACATAACAAGACCCCAGATGGTTTAAACTGTTCAATCTGTACAGTTACACAGTCTGTAAATATCTCCATCAGATGGGATGGCCCACTCTTACTGCTATGAAACCCACTTTGTTTCACTGATATAGTCCCCATCCAAGAATGCTCTTGGTTCTGGAGGCAGTCAGCAGTTGTATAGCTCGCTTCCTGCATCTTATATTGGATCCATGAACATTGGGTACCTCTGTGGTTTATTAATGGTTACTAGAATAGAGGGTGTCTCATGTTTCTTTCCTTCTGCTGCTTCTACTTGTTTGTTCTCTCGTGTGAACAGGAAACAGCATGGTCTGTAAAAGAGAACTGTGAGCTGCAGATGGATTTCCTTGTTCCTCCTTTGTGTTCTCTGACTTATCTTTTGGTTTTGTGTTTTTCAACCTGTAGAGCCTCCTATTTCTTTCTTCCTCTGCTTTTGAAAGTTGCTTCAGGAAGAGGACTGGTAAAGATATTCACCATAACATCTAAATCTTCAATAAAGACTACCTTGTTACTGTGAGCCATTCTGTTACCTCTTAGTGGGATTTTAGACAATAGGAAGCTATGGTAAAGGTGTGTGTATGTTTCTTGGTTTCTCATGAATCACCTCATATAAGTTGCTGATCATTGGCCCTAAAACTGCTGTGTTTTGAGAGATGTAGTATATTTTTGTTATTGGTCTTGATCTAAGAGCTTAGCTCAAAGTTCTTAGATTCTTTGTAGCATAGAAAAATATACCACAGTACAGCAATTATTTCCTAGTAATCAGCTTTAAACTTTGATTTCATCTTCTTACTTTCTAAAGCAGTCTACTGCACTATCATTCCTGGTGCTTGTATTACTTCTAAGCGCTACTACATGTCAGATGCTAGATAAGCAGCATATCTTATCTCCATGAGCTGTTGTCTCACTATATGGATTAGGAAACTGAGAACTAATATAGAGTCAAAAAGTAAGGATCTCGTAGTGGAGTTAGTATTTTTTTTTTTGGTCCGGTTGTGGGACCTGAACTCTGGGCCTGGGCGCTGTCCCTCAGCTCTTCAGCTCAAGGCTAGCTCTCTACCACTTGAGCCACAGCGCCACTTCTGGTTTTTTTTTTTTTTGCTTATGTGGTGCTGAGGAATCGAACCCAGGGCCTCATGCATACACAGCAAGTGCTCTACCACTGAGCTACCTTCCCAGCCCAGTATTTTATTCTTATTCTGTGACTTCAACTCTGTTTAAGCTCACTACAATTTTAAAAGCCCTCAGGGGACTTTTACTCTAATGGTCATAATATAGCTTATTAATGTGAAATAGTTATCATATTAGAATGTGATTTTTGGAAAGAATTTTTTGGGAAAGGATTGCTTTAGCTCTTATATCAGAATGTAGTTTCCTATTAAGAGTATGGCACTGTTGCTTTGAATTCCAGTGACAATGAATTCTTTTCTGACATTTGTGCTCCATTTTATGTTGTGTTTTAAGACATTTGTCCTTGGGATACAGATATAGACATAGTTTGATATATAGGTATTATTGTATAGAGTATATAGCTAGATATACAGTTATAGTTAGATATAGTTGTAAAAGAAGTAGATAAATACTGATTTGAGGTATGTTCTTTTGATTATTTTTTCTGTTTCTACTAGGTATATCAAACTGACAACGTACAAAATGTAGCTGGATTATTCTATCCTAGGGATAATTGCCTCTTCTTGCTTGTTGTTCTTTTCTGCCACCAAGGTTGACATTATTCTTAGATATTAGAATTTTAACCCCACTCATATTTGTAACAGAACTCCTAATGTAACAGAACTCCTGAGGTTTCCTTCCTTGGGACCTGATATCTAGTCCAGTATGACTTGGCATTCTGTTCTCTCTCGTCATCTACCAGAGATAGAAAACAAAACAAAATGAAAAACAAAATCTGATTCAAGTTACAACATCTCTTTTCTGGATTATTCTAATATCCTCTTTATAGTTCTACCAGATTTCTGTCCCTGTACCCCAATCCTGGCCCTATATCTTGTTCTCATCTGGAGAAATCACATTAAAATAAAAGAGAGGGCTGGCATGATAGCTCATATCTGTAACCCTGGCTACTTGGGTGATTAGAGGCCAGCCCAGGCAAAAAGTTAGCAAGACTTCCATGTGCCTTTGATCCCAGCTACATAGGAAGTATAGGTGGGGAGATGATGGTCTGAGGCCCACTCAAGGCATAAGAAACCCTATTTGAAAAATAAAAAAAAGCAAAAAGGGTTGGGTTATAGCTCAGATGGTAGAGTGCCTGCTTATGAAGCGTAATGTCCTGAGTTCTAACCCCAATTCCAACATCCCGCCCCCCCCCCCACAAAAAAACAAACCTAGATGAGAGTCCTTTGATATTTTGAGCTTTTTCTTTGCTTAATCATGAATGGCTTTCCATTTCACTAACAGTAAAAGCCAAGGCTTTGACCTTCCATCTGTTCTATTCTCTCTTTAAACTACTCTAGCTTTACTGGCCTCTGGTTTTCTTTCATTTCTTCAGGCATTTCAACAAGTGCAAAGGCACTTGTTCCCTGTCTGGATGCCCTTCCTCTAATGTTTAAATGGTTCTCTCTGTTTTCCTTCAGGACTTTGCCCAAAGAGCCCTGGTCAGTAAGGTCTTCCTTACCCATTGTATGTGAAGTGCTAATTACCCCCTCCACAGCATTGTAAATTAGCATTTCTATGCTACTTTATTTGTTTTCCTCTTAGGACTTGTTGCTTTCTGTCATATCTGTTTTATTACTTCCTGTCTTTATTGTTTTTTTTTTTTTTTTTCCATTACTGAGTGAAGGACGGCAGATTTGGGCTGTAGTTCACCACTTATTTCCAGTACTTAGAATGTTTGCTGCTCATGGATCCCGAATACATTAGTTGTTCAATAAGTGATTTATTTGCCTTTGCTAGTTGAGACTAGAAGTTGATTGAAAGACATTTTCTTTTTGATAGGACTATCAAAGAGCTGCAGGGGCAGCTGGAGTATGAACGACTCCGCAGAGAAAAGTTAGAATGTCAACTGGATGAATATCGAGCAGAGGTGGATCAACTCAAGGAAAACCTGGAGAAAACTCAGGTCCCCAGCTTCGTGCCTGTGGTTGGTGATCTTAACACATTTACATTTCTTGATTAAAAAGTATACAAGAAGGTCAAGTGCTGGGCTCATGCCTGTAATCCTTGCTGCTCAGGAGGCTGAGATCTGAGGACTGTGATTCAAAGCCAACCTGAGCAAGAAAGTTCATGAGACTCTTATCTCCAATTAACCACCAAAAACTCAAAAGCGGAGCTGTGGCTCAAGTGCTCAGTGTTGGCCTTGAGCAAAAAAGCTCAAAAAAGCTGTGACAGAATTCAGCGCCTGAGTTAAAGCCTCAAGACTGGCACCAAAAAAAACCAAAACTATAAAACTGGCTAAAGGTATGGGTTGGGCTAATTGAGTTTAATTCTTGACTAAAAACCATTTTTTTTTGTCGGTCATGGTGCTTGAACTCTGGGCTTGGGTGCTATCCCTGCACTAAACCATTTTTAATTTGGCTAAGTCATTTAATATCTTTGTACCTCAGTAGTTAACTGCAGATAATATATACTTTGTAGAGCTGATGTCTGAATTAAAGAAACATCCCAATATCTCTATTTGTAATTATCTGTATACATCTACACCCATGCCCCCCAAAAAAGCCCCTCACACCAGCCTAGTTTATATACCATATAATGAAAAGATATTCCTCATAGGCAAAGGAACAATTATAAGTCTGAGACAGTAGAGAGTATGTATATTTTAATATTCTAAATAACAAAAATCAAGTGCTTTGAATGGAATCCATTTTGGAAAACTTCAGTAGTTTTAAGACTATCAAAAGCATATAAGTTGACATAGCTTTTTTTTTGAGATAAGGTCTTTCTAATTTACTGGTTTGGCCTTAGCCTGGGATTACAGGTATGTGACACCATACCTGGCTAAAATGAGTATCTATTTAAGATCTAGTGTGAAACAGGAACAAACTCAGAATCTTTGCTTCCATTTATTTTTGTGTGAGAGACTATCAGATTTAGACTTTAGTCATGTATCCTTACCAAGGCACTCTACCTGTATTTTTTTATTTTTTGTATCTGTCCTGGTGCTTGAGCTCAGGGCTTGGAGATTGTTCCTTAGCTTTTTGTGCTTATAGATAGTGCTCTACTACTTGTGACACAGCTACAATTCTAGATTTTTCGTGGTTAATTGGAGCTGAGCGCATCACAGACTTTCCTTGCTAGGTTGGCTTTGAACTACAAAGCTCAGATCACAGCCTGAGTGCTAGGATTCCAAGTGTGAGCCACTGGTACTCAGCCCCTGCTTGTGTTTCTCATTGCCAGCTGGACACTGCTACCTAAAAATCCCTGGGGCCATGTAACTGAAAAATGTTTAGAACTAAACTCAACACCAAGAGCAGATCCCCCATTCTCCAACCCTGCTCTATATTTAAATTAGCAGTATTACTGTTTTCCTATTTACCCAGTTTCGCATTCATAAAGTCTTGGGTAGTTTTGTTTTCTCCTTTAGCCCAGAAAAGTAGGCCATCTCATAGATGGACCACTCATACATGCTCATGGACAGGAGCAGGTACTGCACATTTGTTGCTTCCCTATAGGTGTCTATATCTGCTTCAAGCTGTTTTATTCACTGTAGTGAACTTGGTTATCTTGTTTTGGGTTGAAAAATCTTCCTTGTCTGTATAAAGTACTGATTCCTCAGTTTGGCAGTTCTAATCTACCATGCCAATCTTGTTTTTGTTTATTCTTTTATGAACTTAAACTCCACTTTCCTACTGCCAAGCCATTGTTCATTTTGTCCTTATACCTGAAGTCTCCTCATCAATGTGGTTTCTTGAAATTGCCTGGGAATCATTTGTCATCCGTTACTGAATACCCCTAATCATATATGTTCTCTCCTACCAGGTATTTAATACTGCTTCCAGAGTATCTCATTATTTGTACCCTGGGTACTGAAATTTTAAATTTTAAGAGATTACTGATTACTTTCATAATATCTTAGTCATCATTAACAATAGGTATCAAGTACTTACATGCTGTTGCATGAGACTTTATATTCAGGAAATGCTACCCTCATATTATGAAATTAGTGTCAGTTACATAATTTGTAGTTACCCAGCTTGTTAGATACATAGCCATGATCTCAACCTAACTGCTTAGCACAAAGTCTGTACTTTTTATATCACTTGTTACTACCATTAGAAACCTCTCCCCTTCTCTATCTTACTGTGTGGATAAGAAAAATTTGACAATTTTGTCTTTAAAAACTTGGATGATAGCAAGGTTGTAGCTAAGGGAAAAAGAAGGAACAGAGGCATGGCTCTTTTTTCTCCAGGTGGTTTTGATAATGGTACATTATTTCATTTTCACATGCTCTTATATGTGAATTAAGCTACCTAAGCTCATCAGCAAAGGGATGAATAGGGGCACTTTCAGGGAAGAACTCTTGCCATGTTTGTGTCTCCCAGAGAGGTGCCTTGTCCTGTCCTTAGAGCCTGTGTTCACATCTATCATGCCTTAATAAGTACAGAGAATTTTTGACTACAACATAGTGAATATCCATTGTGTTTCCAGCCCTTCCCTTGATTCTTCCCACAACATTTATTCTTTTGTGCTAGGTCATGAGAATACCAAGAAAATGAGAAATGTTGGTGAATATCAGGGCATGGGAAAAGAAGATAAGACAAAAGAAGTAAAGGGATGTTGCAAAACCATAAAAGAAGGAATAGAGGGCCAGAGCTGTAAATCCCAGTCCTGCGGGGTTTGAAAAGAAGATGGGATTTCTTTTCTTCCTCATTTGTACATTTCAGCTAACAGTATGGCATGAAATGTTAGTCTAAGTAGAAGACATACAAGGGTGTGATCTTTTGGGGTATGTTAGGTAGACAGGATTGACTGATTTCTCAAGGTACCTTCCTATTTTAAGATTTGGCAGATTTGTGAATTTATTTACACAGATTTCTAAGAGATTTAATCAGAGCTGAAAGTACTTAGCACAGTTCATTTTTCCTTTTAAACAGACAATGAAGAAAAATGAAGGCTGGGCACCAGTGGCTCATGCCTGTAATCCTAGCTACTCAGGAGGCTGAGATCTGAGGATCGAGGTTCAAAGCCAGCCTGGAAAGGAAAGTCCTTGAGACTCTTAACTCCAACTAACAATGAGAACACCGGAAATGGCACTGTGGCTAAGTGCTAGTGCACTCATCTTCAGCTGAAGAGCTCAGGGACTGCACTCAAGCCCAGAGTTCAAAGCCCCATGACCAAAAAAAAAAAAAAAGAAAAGAAAAATGAAAAAATGAGTGCCACCATGAAGAACTTAATTTGACCTTCTTTTCCTTTGTTTACAGGAAGAAGAGTCCTGTGAGTCCAGCAAAGAGAAGAGGCGAGTGAAAAAGAAATTGTCTTCTGGGGGAGTGTTTGTGAGACGGTACTAATCAGTGAAGTAATTTTAAATAAACTTTCTTGATTTTTCTTTCATTGCAAAAATGGATGTAAATTTATATAAATTTGGAATTCATAAAAGTCTTGGAATTACTTGGACAGGATACCATTCCCATTCTGAAGGAAGAAATGTTATGATATCAGAGATTTTTAAAGTTACACAGACCCAGTTATACGCTGCCTCCCAATATACTTTTATACATCTATAGAGACAAGTAGAGGTGAGTAATTAACTTTGCACGTATTCATATAAACTGTGAAATATGAAATAGTGTTAGTCTAATAATTAAATCTAGAAATCTAGTTCTAGATATTAAAATTATTAAAATTTGATTATGTTGCATAAAAGAATATTTATTTTGCTTTTTAGAGAGTATCTTTTACAATTACTATTTTATATAAGGTTTCAAAAACTGTACTTTTGGACAGGCATAGTAGTACATATCCCATCACTTGAGAGGCTGAGGTAGGAGGGTCATGAATTTGGCAGCCAACTTAGGCTAAATAGTGAGACTCTGTCTGAAAGACAACAATAAAAACTAAAACACCCTCCTCTAATTTTATTATTTTCAAATGACTCATTTTAAAAGGCATCTAGATTTGGGAGAAACTATAAGACCAGTAGGTTTTAGAAGGAACAACTTTACAGTAGCAGACTTTTATATAAAATGAAAATCTGCTTAGTAAACCCTACTTTGTGCTTGCTAACAATACCCATTTAAATGCCCATTTAAATTTAAATTTGCTTCAGAATCCAATCTTTGTTCTATTTTGCTTTCAAAGAAAGGCATATAGATAAGAGGCCCACTGGACAGAAAGAGAAACACATGGCTTTATTGTTTTCTTTTCTCTCCCCACTGAATTTACAGATTAGTAGTTCTTTACTATTTTGGCATTTTAGTTTAAATTTAGTTCCTACACTTTCATCTTTCCCTTTCTTCCTGAGCCAGCAAACATCTGTGATTACTGTGGGGCAGTTGTCCTAAATCCTGTCTTCTTACCATCTTTTTTTGTTGGTCATGGGGCTGAACTCTGGGCTTGGGCGCTTGTCCTTGCGCTCTTCAGCTTAAGGGACGTGCTCTACTGCTTGAACCACAGTGCCACTTCTGGTTTTCTGGTGGTTCATTGGCGATAAGAGTCTTACAGACTTTCCTGCCAGGCTGGCTTTGAACCGTGATCCACAGATCTCAGCCTCCTGAGTAGCTAGGATTACAGGCCTGAGCCACCTGTGCCTGGCTTCTCTCATCATCTTGATTGCTACTTTTATGGCTTCACTAGCAGCAGCTTCTCCCTATATACAAGAAACTACCTATACTTTGGACTCTTAACTTTTACCTTTCATGGTATTAAAGGCCATTTTAATTTCTTGTCATCAGGACTTGTTTGCCCTGAAAGTACAATTGAGCAGTAGTTTCTGGCTGGTTAAAGGTCTATAAACAAGTATTAATGACTTAGGCCATGCATGGTGGCTCATGTCTGTAATCCCAGCTACTCAGGAAGTGGAGATCAGGAGCATCACAACTGGAAGCCAGCTTCTGCAAAAAGTTAGTGAGGGTGGGAGTGTAAACTTGTTCAACCACTTTGGAAAACAATGTGGAGGTTCCTCAAAAGACTCCACATAGAGCTCCCCTATGACCCAGCAATTCCACTTTTGGGCATTTATTTAAATGACCACAAAACAGCTCGCAAGTACAAGCATGTTCATTGCGGCATTATTTACCATAGGCAAGATATGGAATCAACCCAGATGCCCCTCAGTTGATGAGTAGATCAAGAAAATTTTATTTATATAATGGAATTCTATTCCTCCGTCAGAAAGAATGACATCACCCCATTTGTTAGGAAATAGAAAGACTTAGAAAAAATTATATTAAGTGAAGTAAGCCAGGCCCAAAGAAACATAAGTCCCATGGTTTCTCTTATTTGCAATAACTAGTATAAGTCTAGGATAAGCAGAAAAAGCCAAAAGCTATGTACATATGACCAGATAAGATGATATTAAGTGAATTGAACCCCAAGACAGGGACACAAGTGGTTTTTTCTTTCTTGCTATTGTTTTTAACATATTTAAAATGTACTATGTGATTTTTTTTGTCTCTCTTTTATGTTTTTCTGCCACGGTACAACCCGTTTTCACTGTATTTGATTCCAGTGCCCTGCATCTTGTATATACATTTTTCTAATTTGGGGAGGGTAAGGGAAATAACAAAATGCTGAAATAAGGATACAGATTGACCCACTGTATCATTGAGATGTACAAGACACTATGTTGAAACAAACTTTTCAACTTGAGGGGGGAGGAGTTAGGGAGGGAAGGGATGGTAGGGGAAAAACAAAGGAGGAGGTAACAATGCTTGATAGGAAATAGACTCATTACCTTACTTATGTAACTGTTACCCTCTGTACTGTTACCCTCTACTGTACAGAGGGTAACAGTTACATAAGTAAGGCAATGAGTCTATTTCCTATTTTTACAAAAAAATGAGATCCTATCTCAACAAAGTAGAACATTTAAAAAAATTTTTTTTAATTGTGAGAATACCGTACAGAGGAGTTACAATTACATGGGCAAGATAACGAGTACATTTCTTATCATGCATTGTTGCCTCCTCTTTGTTTCCCCTTCCAATCCCTTCTCATGTTCCCCTCCCCCCCACCAAAGCTGTAAAGTTGTTTTTTGACATAATGACTTGTACATCTCATTGTTGCAATGGGTCCACCTGTATCCCTAGTTAAACGATTTGTTTTTCCCCTTCCACTCCACAAATTATACCAACATCAAATACAGTGAAAACATGGGTTATGCCGTGGGGGAGGGACATACAAAGCAACATAGAAATCATCTTATAAATATGTTAGAAACAATTTCATGAAAGGAAAACAAACAAAAAAACATTTGTATAATTATCTTGGGGTTCATTCCCCTAACGTCAACTTATCTGACCTTTTCTGCTTGACTCAGACATATATTAGTTATTTCACATAAGGAAAACCATGGGACCTATGTTTCTTTGGGCCTGGCTTACTTCACTTAATATAATTTTTTCCAAGTCTTTCCATTTCCTTACAAATGGGGCAATGTCATTCTTTCTGATGAAGGCATAGAATTCCATTGTGTATATATACCACATTTTCTTGATCCATTCATCTACTGAAGGGCATATGGGTTGGTTCCATATCTTAGCTATGGTAAATAATGCTGCAATAAACATAGTTGTGCTGGTAGCTTTAGTATGGTCTTGTTTGTGAGCATTCGGATAAATGCCCAAAAGTGGGATTGCTGGGTCATAGGGGAGCTCTATGTGGAGGCTTTTGAGGAACCTCTATACTGCTTTCCAAAGTGGTTGAACAAGTTTACACTCCCACCATTTTTTTTTTTTAAATCCTACCATCCCAGCCTCATAGGAGCCCATAGGTAGGAGGATCATGGTCTGAGGTAGGTCCCAGGGGAAAAGCAAGATCCTGCCTATAAATTAACCATACAAAAATAGGGCTGGAGGTAAGATTCAAGCGGTAGTACATTTGCTTAGCAAGAGTTAGGCTAAACCAAAACAAAACGAAGACTTGATCATTATGTAGCCCAGGCTGGCCTTGAATTTGCAGTTCTACTTATCTCCTGGGTGCAGGATTACAGATATGCTCCATCACACCCAGTATTAGCTATCCTTTTGACAAAATGTCACTGTGATTTCTAATAGGCTTTCAATGTTTAGTAAAAACATTTATTGGGCACTAGGCTGTGTGTGAGATCTGTATCATCTTTTACTATTTCTTAATTCTTACGAATTTCCAGCTTCCCTTGTAACTAAGAAACCAAGCTGTGATCAATAGGATGTGAGCCCAAATATTGTTTTAAATATTAGCATCATACCCCACCTAAAGGGAAAAGGGCTTTTCACTTCTAGCCCCTTCTGTTGTGAATGAATGTAACAATAAGCATGGGAAAACAGTAAAATTAGAAGAGTTCTGACTCAGCCCTTAGAATGCTTATTGTCTGAAGAGTAAGCCGATACCTTATTTAATTCATGATTATTCAGTCTTGTTTAACATTAAATTATAATTGCCAAGTCACATACATTATTTATTCACAAATCACATATATTAATGTCATGTTAGGTTAAGGAAAAAGAGTGAAAAGGAGATGGAAAGATGAAAGGTGTTCATATGACTCAGTAGATTGTCCTTTTTTTTTTTTTTTGGCAGTACTAGGGTTTTTTTTGTTTTTGTTTTTTGTCAGTCATGGGGCTTGAATTCTGGGCTTGGGTGTTATCCCTGCGCTCTTCAGCTCAAGGCAAGCGCTCTACTGCTTGAGCCACAGCATCACTTCCAATTTTCTAGTGGTTAACTGGAGATAAGAGTCTCACAGACTTTTCTGCCTGGGCTGGTTTTGAACTGTGATTCTCAGATCTCAGCCTCCTGAGCAGTTAGGATTACAGGCGTGAGTCACTGGTGCCCGGCTCAAGTACTAGGGTTTTGAATTAAGTGTTGCATGCATGCCAGGCAGGTATTACCACTGGAACTCCTCCTGTAGTCCTTGTGTTTTTACCCAGGCCATAACAATGATCCTCTCATTGTTTCATCCCACACAATTAGATGACAGGCAAGCCAACTTGCCCAGCTTCTTATATGTTGAGATGAGGTCCTGCAAACTTTTTCTTCCTCCCAAATAGCCAGCAATACAAGTATGAACTGTATTAGGTTTGTAGGTTTATGTGTCCATGTGCATGTGTGCATGGCACTGGAGCTCTACCACTTAGTGCTACTGTATATGGATTTTGTTGAGATGGCATCTATTTTTTTAGGTTGGTGTAGAATTGCAGTTGTTCCACTGTTTGCCTCTCAAGTAGGAAGACCGAAGGTATGAGCCACACATCTTGTTAGATTGCCTATTTCTTGAGAGAAAGGACTAAGGTTGGAGACTACAAGTATATCGACTAAGCTGTGACCTTCAGAGTTAAGAGATTTGGGCCTATGTAATTTATTTGATGGTGACTGTCAAGTAACTTACTTGACTTCACTAAGCTTGATTTTTGAGG